ATGCTACACACTGTTAAGCAGGCCAGAAATAATATCATGAGCTGGAAAGCCCACCAGTTGCGCTCCGTTCACCAATATCAGGCCAAATGTTCTGTTCTAGCTAAAATGAAGAGCAAATGCGACGTGTTACTAGCGCAGGATTGGGCAATGAAATTTATGCCACGAAAATTTCGAGAGCCGCAATCAGACTGGTTTGCTAAGCGCGGTTTACCATGGCACATAACAGTTGCTATTAGGAAGTCGGAAGAAGGCGAGCAGTTTGAGTCTCAAACATTCGTACATGTCTTTCAGAACTGTTTACAAGACAGTGCTGTAGTGGTATCGATAATGCAGGATTGTCTTGTTTCGCTGAAGAAGGAAATGCCGGAATTAGAAAGGGCGTTTTATAAACAAGATAATGCCGGCTGTTACCACAGCGGATACACTATCGTTTCAGCAAAATTTGCAGGCGACATTGCTGGCGTGGGCGTGGAACGGAACGACTTTTCCGATCCTCAAGGTGGAAGAGGAATATGCGACCGCCAAGCAGCGACTATTAAAGGAGACATTGGAAGATATGTAAACGAGGGCAATGATGTGACAACAGCAATTCAGCTCAAAACAGCCATAGAGTCTGGTCCAGGATCTTGCGCTAAGGCTAGTTACGTTACATTCAACCCATCAAGCACTCGGCACGTCAAATGGGATGGTGTAAGCTTACTCAACAACTTCAAGTATGAGGAGAACGGAATACGAGCGTGGAGGGCATTTAATGTGGGTCCTAGAAAGTTGCTACCGTGGTCTCAGTTTGAAGGAGTTTTGCAGGTCCCGGAAACTCTTGAAGTGGTTGACTTCATTTCCCATCGCAGAAATTAAGTACTAAGCCATCTTTCAAGAAGGTGAGACACAGACATGTATATAAAAAATCTGCAAGTGATCCAAACGCAGCCAGTGATGCCAATAGCCGAGAACAAGATGATGATGGTGAAAACGAGCAAGCCTCGCCACTTTTCCCATGCCCCGAGGAAGGGTGCATTAAAGCATACAGCCGCTTTGTATCATTTACAAGCACATCTAGACACGGGGAAACACAAGCGACTACCTGAACAGGAAACGCTGTATGACAAAGCAAAACGAGGATATGCTTCAAAGCTAATGGATGAAGGTAGCAGGATTTCCACCGTGCAGTTACAATGTGAAGAACAAAACAGCCAATGCTTTTCGCCCCTTACAATGGGATGGGCACTTAAGACAATCACAAAGAAGACACGTTTTACGCAAAAACAGAATGAATTTTTGAAACAACAATTTGAAATTGGCGAGCAGAGTGGAAGGAAAGCAGATCCGAATGAAGTCTCAAAAATGATGAGATCTTCAAGGGACGAGTTAGGAGCTCGTCGATTTCTACCAGAAGAAGTTCTAACAGGACAGCAAATCACTGGATTCTTTTGACGACTGGCAGCAAAGAAAAGGCTTCCTCCCAGTACAGTGAACCGGGAAGAGTCGGACGAAGAGACCACTAGAGAAGATGACAGAGCATTACAAGAACAGGTAATCCAATCTGAAATCTGTGCGCAAGTGATGAGAGAGGTTTCCCTTCAGCACCCCATTGTATCGTCGTCAGGTTACAACATCTGTGAACTCATGCGCATGGGCAAGAAAAAGCTGATGTCACTGAGTGTGGACATGCTGCGCAGTATTTGCGATGAACTTGGTGTGGACGTCTCTGATATAACACAAAGACGAAAGAATCCGTTTATCAGTCGTCTTTCAAAGCTTGTGGGCGAGTGCGGCTGTACCTCATAAGCAGATTAATAAACTGTTTTCTGTTGACTAATTATGCCTTGCGCATAATTGTATACAAGAAAACATCATTTATTTTCTTTCGAAAAAATCGTTTCATTTGATCGTTATCTTTTTTTAAAAGTGTGTTCAGTGAAGAGGTAGATACACTAATGGTATGGCGACCACCTCAAGGCTGCCACCGAATTAAACCAGCCAACCAGTCACGTAATGTAAGCTAATTACAGTTGTATATCCATTCAAAGTTTTAGGGCTAAAAAGTTTGAAATTGTCTCCGCAAGAAGCCAAGAAAAATTCAAAGTAACAAAGCTTGACGTACAAGATTGATCAAAGATCTACTTAAATATAGTTTTGTGGGGAAATGGCCATATTGGAGTGATGCAACGACCGTAATTGTGCTATTAAACGTAAACATATAAATGTTGATGTGACGTTTCCACTAGTATACTGTGCAAACTGTGCACTTTGTGGGTGGTTGGGGAGAAAGAGTAGTATGGTTGTTAAATCCTTTCCCCCACCCCCTTCCCTCCTTTTTAAATGTCGTAAAAATGACAGTGTACATTATTTATTCTTCGGTGCCCTCTTTGGAAAATTCTTAGTATTTTTCATCGAATATTGTCAAAATTAAACTTTATTTTCTCTATCAATGACAGACTGTAGTGTTATTTGACAAGCGCAATCAATAAAACATGCAAGTTCTAAAACTCATAGTGTTTTTAATAGTCGCATTGGACAACAGAATGAAGAGGATACAAAACTCATTGGAGACAGTTCCAGCTTGGTAGTACATTTTTTTTTAGTTGTTATTTACCTGAGCCCATAGGGACGAGCTATTTTGAAAGGTCAAATATCTTCATGGATTGGAAAAATATATTCCTATTCCAGTGCGGCTACTTTTCACAGCTCTTCCTGAGTGACCCGAAACAACTTCCTGTATGGTGCAAAAATTAATACTTTTTGAACATGATGTATTACTCAGTAAGTGACACAGGCATAATCGAAAAAAAAATCCGAGTGCTTCATGGGACAAACATCCTGCATACTGCTAGGATTGGAATGTCATGTGTGGCATACGCGCAATGGAATAAATGTGATGGAATATTTTTAAGCCTGGTGAATAAATGAGAATGATGTATTATTCAGTAAGTGACACAGGCGTACTCGGAAAAAAGAAATCCGAGTGCTCTCGGCCATCAAGAGTCGAAACTATCGACATCGTGTCAGGTTATGCCTAAGTGACACGATGAGACGGTACGGGTAGTCATCTCCAATAAACTCGTTGGCTTTTAAAAACACGCAATCTTGCTAAAATCAAATCTGGTTCAAGTCCGGAGAGTTTTTTAGGACTTCGTGCGATGTTTTACATCCTTGTTACACAGCGTGAGCAGTGTGACGAAAGCTGAGTAAGGGTAGAAATTAGCCATTGGAAGTTACTTAACAAGTGCGTTCGTCTGCGCCGCAAATCCCACCGACAATATTCAAGAACGAGCAAGACGTCGTTGTTATGTATGTCTATCAACTTCGCCAAGAACATACTCTGGTTATATGGTTAAGTAGATTTGTTTATTTAGAGAACGATGCAATATTTGCTTTTCGTGGAAACAGTTACTTCCGATTGGTTTTCGACGGCACAAAACTTCTCATACTAAATAAAATCAATTCTAATTGAGCTAGAATTACTATTAAGGTTTTTTTTTTTCAGCAAGTTAACTGGGAAACCTGGCACATCTTTGAGTAAGATATTTTAAAAATACGACTTATTTAAAATCAACGGATGTAAATATCTGTTTGTTACTGTACTAATTGTAGCTAAGTCGCTCTTGCGTGACGCAGATTAGGGAGCGAACCTGAGTGATTTAATTTCAGCTCGTGGTAATTTTGGTGTTTCATAGTTTGTTTTACCTGTGTAGACAATATTTAACATTAATATATATTTTTAAAACGCTTCAAACCGCTAAAAAAGCAAAACCCTTATGTTTTATGTACAAACTTTGGCCGAGGAGTTAATTTATTCAATAGTGCTTTGTTATGTAGAGTTGTAGATTTCAAAGGCGCTCAATTGGAATTTTATCGAATTTTGATCGGCGTTCATGCAAAAGTGCTAATAGATCCTAAAGATTTAAAACCGTAGACTAAAAAATCAATGACTGAACTGTCTTTGGTTATAATATCAGAAGATTTGAAGAACTACCGGTCAGCTTTTTTTCGTCTCTGAGTTTGGATTATTTTACACGTTCGCGTAAATGAGAAAAGTGTGTCTTCTTAATCGGGTCTCAGTTTGGTGACAAATAAGCAGAGATAGATCTAATTCCCATGGTTTGACTAAGGAAGAATCAATGTATTCAATTATACTTAAGAAAGATTCACAGCTATGTAAACGTCTGTGTAGCGAGAAGCTGAAAAGTGTAAAATGTCGAGTTTCAGCTAGGTGAAATCCGAGCTTCCGGTAGGGTGACCGTTTTTCGTGGTTTTCTGCCGTTATATGGAATATTTCAAAAAACTAACCTCATATCCTTCAGTTACTTACCTAGGCCTTCAAACTGACAAAGTATGAGCGCAATCGATTTTTTGACCGTGGCCACGTTTTTCGAATTTTCCTTGATTTTTACTGACATTTACTCTTAACATTTCTTGGGAACTACCAACTAGTGAAATAGAAAGATAACAAAATAATAAAAGCGATTCTCTCGCCAGAACCAAGATTTGGAAAAACAAAAAAAATAGGTAGCTACTTGTTCGTTTCTTATGATTTGATGAAATTAGGGTTTGGAAGAATTTCTATCTTTTCAACTACATACTGGGCTTCTTTCCTTTACCCTCCCCTTCTCTTAGGACTAAGAACGAACAAATCGCTTCTTTAGATCGGAAACGAAATTTTGCAAATTTAATTGGGAAAACCTGAACATGACGATGAAACCAAAGTACTTTAGACATGGTGTCTGATTTCTTTCTACAGTTATGTTACCAGACCACCATTTACATTTTTGTTCTGAAAACTAAACTTCGCAGCCATTTCTTGACCATTCCAAGACGTCTATCCTCCACTAAAAAAATAGGCCATGGAAATAAATATCCTGACGAAAAAACAGAGGCAGTCAACAGAAGGCACTAAGGCGAAAGAGGACTGATAATAACTGAAGTTTTCATGGTGCGAATCGTATTCTGAGACCTATCCCCTAGGAGATTAACAAACTGATCTAAAAATCAAATCCTCCTCGTTCTTTTCTGACCAATAATAAACCACCCGTCTTCTCTTTAGAGTAACATCGTTTTTTATGGTACCATATAAGCTTAGATGTAGCTTTATTTTCTACTTCCTTAGATTTAGCAAGAATCTAAATAAGAAGAAAAGTTTCCTTTGATAGATTTGCTTGACACTGGTTAAAATTCGAGCACCGTTTATTGTCTATGGTGCTCAAAATATATTTGCCTCAAAAAAAATTTTCTGAATATTTCAAAGGCTTGTAACTTTTAAGCCAGCTCCTTGAGAATCTTTCACTCATTTTTCGTCTTTTTTATCCATCTGTCGGTTTTCAGTTCATGACTCAAAGGCATAGTGAAATACATGATGATCTTAAACTAGTATCGTTCCAAAACAAGATCATCAAAGTAACAGGGTGAGAATCGATAATGTTGCTAGTAATCCTATGTACCAAAACATCTATTATAACATGAAAGATAATTTCGGCTCTTTATATGATCAGGTAGGATATCATGAAAACGATGTAAGATGACCTACATCGGTCACATCGTTAGGTAAAACAAACCAGCAAATAATGAAATAAGTCTCCAAATATCTGAGAATTTAAATCAAAACCGAAGTATTGAAATCTTATTATGTACAGAGAAACTACCTGGAAAACAAAAAATATGTATAGATATACCGTATTTCCTCACCTATAAGCCGAGCGATTTTTTCAGTATTTGACACAAAAGTTTGGGAGCTTTTTCGCGAGTTGGGATTCAAAAACAAGTTCAAAGTTAATGTTGATGCGAAATGACCGTAAATTCCATGACTGCAGCGCTCTTTAAGTGACATATTTTAAAATTGTCACAACAACAACGTATTTCTGACCACCAATCAGATTCATTGCTTCCCACGCATTGAAAGACGATATCAATCAATTCAGCGAAACTCTTCTCATTTCACATCACGAATGAAATATTTGGTCTCTTTGCTGCGAAAACGACTCCCTTGTTCGTCTAGTTAGGGACACTTGAGAGTGAAACGGCCCATTTATGCACGTTCTGCAGACATCTTAAGCTCGCCAGTAAGAATAGTCGCCTAGTCTCTTCTCTAGCGTCGCACCATAGACTCGCTAAGTCCATAATCTCGCCCTATTTCCGAGTTGTTTCAACAGCTTCAGCTTCCGCGATAACTTTTATCTCCAAAGCCATAGTATACGACGAGCGGCGTGCTTTTGGCATGATGAGAAAAGTTACAATGACGAAAGAGATACTCGATCGAAACGTTTGTCAGGATACAGTGACTGAGAGTATTGTTGTGTTTCTGCATTCGCGTATTAGTATTTACATCTTCACTAATTTGCTTCTTCTCTTTTGTGTTTATTCTCATTCATTTGCTTTTGTGTTCATTGAGCCATTTCCCTATGTTTTCCGTGAAGTTCGCTCACGCAAATGACCAGTTACAATCAAGAATTTTGCTCTCGGCTTATAGCCGATGGTTTTGCTTTTTCATTTGGACAACACGAGTCTGATGAAAGGTCTCTAACTCTTAGGGTCTCGGCTTATAGGTGAAGAAATACGGTATATGTATAATGCAATATTGCCAAAATCAACCATAGTTTTGTGCACCATAGCTTAATTGTAATTTTCCTCGGTTTCCTAAGATTTGTTGTTCTATACTCATTTAACAAAGTGATTATGATGAAAGTAATAGTATTGGTGACTGATATTTTTTTTACCGAGGTCATCTGTTATTCCATTCGCTGCCCGCAAGTTTTCAGAAAAGATAAATGAACGCTGAGGTTACTAGACGTGCACTATTAACATTTGTATCGAAAAATTGTGTAATTAAATATGGTATGCGTTTTCCATACAACACCAGGCTGTTAACCACTTATACATATTTCATTGATCTTATGAATCTGGGTGGACTACGATGGGGGTTACTCGCTATCTTTTCAATTAACTGAAGGGCTTTTGCCCTCCCATCCCCCTACAACCCTTCCATTCCTGCCCCACCCCCTTCCTCTCCTTGGACTAACAGCGAAACGTTGATGTTTATCGGAAATTGCAAGTTGAAATTTGTTTTGGGAAATCTTATACAAACGAAACTAGATCGATTCATGCTCAATGTCTACTTGTTTCTTCGGACCCCTTTTGGAACATCTAAATGTTTAAAACTTTTTGGTTAGCTTTTTGTCCATTTCCTGGCGATAATATTGGTTATCTCTTCACTGAACCAAGATGTAGCCCAGGGCTTTGATGTGTTTGTCTCCATTATCCCCAGCGTGTTTTGCAGTGTTCCCACACGTGTTGGAGTGGTCAGGAGAGCCACCTGTGCCAAAGCCAATTCTGGAATCACAGAATTTGCAATCATTTTGGTTATTGGCAATGATACCAATTCTTGCTTTGGAAAGCTGATCTTTAACCACAGCATTGAACCCTTCCTTGTTGCATTTTAATTGTAGAGAGGCCTCGGTGCCAATCAGCGACTTCCATGTGTCACGACCCAGTGATGTTTCACGATATTGTCCGTCAGCGATCAGTGAGTACAAAGAACTGGCTTCCTTTTTGATGACAGTGAACCTTAAAAGATCGCCGAGCTTCATTCCAAGACAGATCTTAGAGAACGATGTGTTCCAGTAAGTCGGTAGCTTGGTCTCATTTAAGTCAAACCCAGTCTCCCCACCTTGAGGATTGAAGTCATCAGTGTTAATCCAAAGTTCCGAATTATAGTCGAAGGTTTGCTATGTAGATGGAAAATTTGAAACTAATTGAATGATGGTTGAATCCATATGCAGATAATTTTTAGAACCAAAACGGATAGAATAATGCGAAATGTTTTTACAGCAAGAGCGGGGAAAGTGATCTGTCTAGTTTAAGTGAATTTGAAGCCTTCGGCATTGAGCCTCTAGGTTGTCATTATTATTGTTGTTTTTTAGTTTTCCGGCTCCTTTTGCGTCAGTCTTTCAGGTGAATGAATATTGAAGCTAAAGATTTAGGATGGTTAACTGGTTTCGAATAAAATTCGTCTGAATTCATTCATGAATTTGCAATTTCACGATTAGTTTACGCAGCCAATGTTTGAGGATAAACTTTGGTCATATCACCCTTTGCAAGGAAGATTGTAAAGGGAAAAGTGTCTGTCGGTTTTACGTCAGTCTTGAAACTCCTTACGGCCGGTGGCCAATTTCCAATTATCTTGATATACATTAAGATATGGTATTTAGCGCATATTGATGACAGCTCATTTTCTCAACAGGTCACTAGTTGAATTTTCCCTTTTAAGTAAAACATTTGGCTCAAGTTTAATAGAGACGAGAAGCACGATACCTTTGAGCCATCCATTTTCATTACCATCGTCCATCCACCACCCCCGCAGCTGTCAAGGTCATCAGTCATGTGACAGTAAATATTGACCTTCGCATGATCTAGTAGAAGTTGATAAGCTCTATTTTCCTGTGAACTGAAGTTAAGCCGTTTTTTCTACTTGTTAGTTATTTGTTTCATTTATTTATTGATTAACTTGGAGTAATAACCATGTTACTATGAACTAGTTGGTAGGGCCGGACGGGAAAATTGGCTGTAGTTCATGACATAGGGACCGAGTGTGGCTCTTTCTTTCATGCCTTTATTCAATTCTCTCACACTGCACAGGGCTGTGCGGTTTTTTTCAGCCTGAGTTATGGTTAGCATTTTAAATGTTTCATATACAAAAGTAGATTTATTACATAGCAAAGCTTTTCAAGGTCTGTAAAGTATACCTGACATCTAAGAAATGATGAATACATTTACAAAATGAGTAAAAGGGCTCGTGCAGGGAACTTTGACAAACTCACCAAGCCAACATGAAAATACAAATAGGAGCTGTTTTTTTTGTAAAAACAGATGCAATGCTGCACCAACCCCTCTATGACGGCCTTCATTGTAAAATGGCCGGTTTTCACTGTGTCTAAAGGACTGTTAAGGTAAGGTTCTATTGTATAATTTCAATTTTACTCTTACGACAAGACGTTCACCAACATTTCGGTTTATTTTTAGGATTTTTCAACCTAACCCTAACCCTAAGCTAAAAAGAATTATAAATTTCTATGTACCTTTGACTTTTGTAAATTTCTGAACACGAGGAGAAAGGACCTAAAACAAGATGAAATATAGAATTACAAAGGCATTTCTCGTATTGTTGAGGTATATTTGTATAATTTTATACCCACCCGAATCTGATGATGCCTTAATACTCATACTACTTAGGATAGGTAAGATTTAGTTTAAAACTGATGAAGAACTTTTACTCAGCAAATGTAAGCTATTCGAATGTCGTTTTTGAGTGAAACTGGCAGCTCGAGAAGCTATCTTAATAAGTTAGTTTTAATCTTTTACTTATTACATAAAATGAACTTGGCCGAAGCGAGGGGAGGCGAAAAAAACTTCGTGGTGTGCAGGGAACGAAACACCTGTGGAAATCTCGGAACGGTATTCTCACAGAACAACCCTCACTCTTAGTTGTAGACACGCTTTTGATTGATAATTACCATGCTAACTCAATTAGATTAGAAAGGATCAGCGCTCGGGCTAAGTCATTAGATTACTCATACTTTGAGAGTCTTACCCTCGCACGTCAATCCATCTCCATGGCGTCCTGGTTTACATGTGCACGTGTAAGATCCCTTGGTATTAAACCTGGGATTTTCCAGTAATACGTCACGAACTGAGATGTTCACGTGTTTTTGTTTGTTTGTTTTTGTACTTTTGGTTTTTTTAATAATGAAACGTGTCTTACCTTCTTCACAAGTTGGGCCCATGAACCCAGTTGAACACAAACAGATATAACCTTTCTCAGTAAGACCATTTTGGCAAGTAGAGTTGTTTTTGCAGGGATTTTTTAGACAAGCATTCTAAAGCAGAAATAAATAAATAAATATTAACCCTTAAAGCTATAGTAAGGCAATTAACTTCAACCTTATAAGCCTTCTCCATTCTGAAAATATGAGGTCGTTTTGAGACCCCTCCTTCCAAACACAAAAACTCTAAATTAAAACTAAAACGCAGAGAAAAACAGGAATCCCTTAAATCGATGAATGTAAACAGTTATACCCATGTTTTTTCCATCATAACAACACTGTAGAACTGGCTAGAATGCAATGGATAAAAATGAACGAGAAATTTAATAGGTCACGACCTTCTATAGCTTAGCCTCGTGTTCTTTGTGAGTAATATTTTTCCCTTTGCATTTGTATTTTCCTCGCTAACCATGTAAGACATGGTCCAGGAAAAATCTTCATTTGGACTTGATGCAAACAAAGTATCATTTTGAGTAAAAGATGAAGATAGCCTCTTACCAAAAAGTGATAATGATGCAAATTCTTGGTTTCTTTGTACTCGATAGGATTGCTGTTCTCATGAGCTGACAATAACTCACACCACAGTTTACCTTTGGCAACCACGTTCACGGAAACACACAGAGGATGGTGAAGGCACCTAAACATGCATTCAAAGTCGTCGTGTATAATGATTTCTTCAAGTTTTGGTGCATTGAGGTATTGAAACTTGTCCAAGGAAAGCAGACTCTGCCTGGACATCTGTGGTGAAGTTCCTTGATTATCTTCGGTTTCCAAGGTGACTGTCACTGTCGGTTGAGAAAATATATTCTTTTTTCTACAATTTTGGAAAAGCAGATAAATCGAGGAATTTATGTCCGCTAACACTTCCCAAGGACAATGCGAATAAAATGGATTGATGATAATATCGCATTTAAGTGATATAAGCACATATATACAAAAGGGTTTCAATGGGGTTTACTGCTAGAAAAAAAATGACCGTGAAGCGTAATAATTGACGAACTTTAATGGTTAGTCATAAAAAAGCTCACCCTAAAAAAATTATTTTTAAATATTACTGGGGTTAAATGAACCATTTGCAGCAAAATGACCAAAACTTTAACTGGTACCCGTAGAAGTCAACCCCCCCCCGAGACGATTTGTCAGCCTTAGATTATGGATTTGTGGCACGGTATTGGTAGGCGCTTTTTAAAAAGGAACTTACAGAGGTGATTTGTCTGGGCCTATGCGGACTTTGAAGCACAGAAAGGGGCATTGTTTAGTCTGTGGAATTGTCATGCCACTTTGCTCGAAAAGTCTTTGGTGTTCCTTTTCCATAATTTGGCACCCTTAAAATTAAATCCATGAACGTTTTTATTTATCTTTCATTAATTTTGCAAAACACGGGCTACTTCCTATGCCTTCCTTTCGGTGTTTGCGCGAGAAATTGACATGTGTTTAGCCAGTATTTTATTCATGAGTGCATGTGCGACTTTTGAAAGGATTTTTTTTTTAAGAAGTCCCCGTCGTCTTATTTAGAATTATCTCCCGAAATTGTTTGAAGTTTAAGGTGGCCTTTGGTATGACTCCACAAACCTCCAGTTTATCAAAGTCAAAGAGGTTTTAAACCGCGGATATGAGGTTTTTTATAGCGAAGATAAGAAAACTTATACTTCATTTAGAGAAATGACAGGTGTTAACCGACAAGTATGATTGATGCGAATCGTTCTGCATATATACTAATTTACCCTCGCCATCCTCCACTCAAAATAAGGCACTGGAGAAACTAACCTTGAGACGAGACAGAAGCAGACAACAGAAGGCACAAAGACAGAAGAGGACTGATCGCATTTTTCATGGCGCACGTTGGATTCCGTACCAGCTTCCCGTGAGATTAACAAGCTGATCTGAAAACCTGTTGTAGAATGTGTTCCTCTTTAATCGAACCTTTGTGATTCTCTTCCAATCAATGATACGTGGGGCTCAATTTGTTGTTTTGTCTCTAGGAGTCTATTGGTGTGGCTCCAACGAAACGTGTTTGTCTCCTTATCTTTTAAGTATACAATCCATTGGGGGCAACTAGTTTATTTAAATCATTTCACTAATCGTCTAAGAAGGTTAATTAATAATTAATAACATCTGCCTAAAAGCATTACAAGTCTAAAAATCGATTTCTCTACACTCAGCGGCGGAGAAGAAAAACGCACCCCCTCCAGCAAATGAAAAGCAATAAATAATAAGAAAAATCAAGAAAGACAGATTCCTCCTCTTTCCCCTTCACTATTCTCCGCTCAACAAATGAATGATGGCGAAACTAACCTTACAACGAGACAAATTTTTTTCTTTTCGAATAAAACTGCCGGCCTCTTTTTCAGCCGATGAAACTTGGGATTGAACCGGTTGACTTCTAACTGTGATGTATTTTGTCATAGACATAATTTCTTTTATTTAATAGAAGTCAGTAAGTCATCTCAAAGTTACTCAATAACATGCCTATATATGTCATATGATTTGTTTGTTTTGTTTTTATTTTAAGAAAGAAACTGCCCGCATAAAGAGTTAAGTAGCGGTAATGGGACTGAGTGGAGTCAAATTTGGTCTGTAATCATACGAGGGATAACAAAATCGATGGACCGCGCAGCGGGATTCCGATTTGTTTGTCACAAGTATGATTACAGACCGAATTGGACGACACGAAGTCTTATTACCAATTAAGGTATTTCAGAAGGAAAAAGGCAGTATTTTTTCGATTTCCTGAAAATTCTATCAATTTCTGGTGTTTTTTTTTTTTTTTTCACTTTCAAAGATAAAAAGCAAAAAGTAATTTGAGACTAGCACGGAAGGCGCGAGATTGATGACACTTCATGTAAACTTCTTCTCTTCACCCAAATTAACGATTTCAAAACCACTGTTGATTTTAAAAGCACACTGTGCAGTTTCGTACAATTCCGACATCCCCCATTTGTTTTCAGGTCTGCTTAAACTAGTTTTTTGCCGAAAGCTAGAAATAGATTTTTTTGTTCAATTCTTGTTTTCAAGTTGATATTATGTCTAAAAGCTACAAGTCCTTTTTGCCGTTTGAAAGGAAAATTTCTTTAGAGTTTGCACCGAAGCGGAATTATTGCTCATGTCTATTGAAGTTGCCGGAGGCGCTAGTTCGCGAAAAATATCGACGATCGTCCATCATTATTCGCGTAGCATTATACTTCGAGTATCGATTTTGAAAGGGTGTGTTGTTTCCAGTGTAACTCTCCTTCCTTTGCCTGACCTCTCTCCTCCTCTTTTTGCTGGTTGAAGCACCTTCCATATAGACGCAATTAGCTACATATTCACGTGAGTTACACTTCATTTTCCCATGTCCTCACAAATCCTGTCCGCTCTTTGCTCTTTAGCACGCATCAGCGCCGACAGGCAAATCAGTGTCAAATGGCTTCCTCCAATGTGACTGCGTAACAGCCAGATGTAGAGTGGAAACGCACTTATGTAAACAAACACTGACGTCTCGAAACATTTCAAGACGCTTTTTCTGGTAAATTGTTTTGGCTTGAGTTCTGATCTTTGGAGAGTTTATTCTCGGCTGGTATTCGGTCAACTTTTGTGAAATTGGGTGGTAATGTCGGATGTCCCGGATTTTGGAATTTTTCCTTATTTCTAGAGATTTAGCTTCTATACTGAAAACTTTGCTCAAAAGTGCAACTTTGAATTAAAAAAATTATTGCAAAATGACTGAACAAATAGTTACGATATCCGAGGAAACGTGAATAGGCAAGGTGTGGAAGAGAGAGGAATTTTGCATTTAAAAATTGACAAAGGAAACCAAGGTTGTGATTGGTTGATTTCAACTAAAACTTTGAATGTGATTGGCTTATTGAACCGTCCGATAACAAGCTGTCCGATAACAAATTGGCAAGTGAATTAGTAGAAAATAATTTGTTTAAACCAATCACAATTAAGAAATTGTGATTTTTATACTTAGATAAGTTACAACCCGTTATAAATACATACCGTTTTGTGTCGTTGAAAAATTGTGTGGTTTGGATGGCGGGTGTCTGCAATCTTCTAATAGATTCTAATTCTAATTTCATCGATAAATCATTGCCTTATTAATCACAAGAAACATCTATTATAAATAAATATTCCTCTAGGAGAAGCTCAGAGATTTAGGGCCGGTTATTTAAACAAGGTCTAGTCGTCATTTAACAAAACCGCGTTCTAAGCCTTCTTCAATTTAGCCGAACCTTTTATCTAAGAATCAATTTTTTTGTGAACAGTGTCAACAGGCCGATACCTAAAAGTAGACGGACAGCTGTTTAAATGAAATCAACCCTCTTATGGAGAATCACCGAGGCACACTGCTTGCGGAAAACCGCGGTTTGGGTTAGATCTCGTTTAAATAAGCGGGCTATTCTTTTTTTAATAGTATGAAGTTCTTTAATTATTATGGGGACAACGTCACCACAAATTCTTCTGACGATTTTTTCTTTATACCGTTATTAATTATTATGTATCTTACTTACAACAGAGAGTTCTTAACGTTATATACAACAAAATTGGCGCATTCCCTACTGGAGAAATTTTTGATTGGGAAGAATTATATTCAAGAATGTTACATGGATGATAGCAATACCTGAGAAACTACCAACCAGTGAAATAGAGGGATATCAAAATAGAAGAGGCAATTCTCAGTTAAGTTTCCGTAGGTAGCTTTCTCAGGTGCTTGCCAACCAAACCGCTTGCTACGCAGACTAGTTACTAAGACTGCATGAAAAATCACCCATTTGTTCCACAAAATAAGACCCTAAGGAAGCTCGAGTCAGGGCTTTAATACTGTCTAGTTTCGCTAAAACAATGATTTGAATAAAGAAAACAAAAGAAAACATAAAGTCAACGAGAACAAAAAATTCAGGAGCTCTCTTGGACAGAGCACATTAAAATGGGGTCAACAGCAAAATAAAACAAAAAAGTCTATATCATTACTTATCTAGATGTATAAGCACTTTTGTTTCATATGTAGCCACGATCTTCGAAACAAACAGCTCCGTTCTAACTCTTTGGTATCTGTACTAAAAGGCTGGCTGTGCCAACTCAACGGGTTTTAATTTTTTTTTTAAATTTCCTGCGACCTTTGGTAGCAGGAAACTAAGGAAGGTTGGATAGGATGGTGATTAGTTTAAGCTTAGTGTCCACAGCTTTGATTAAGGTAGAATGGATAGGATAGTGATTAGTTTAAGCTTAGTGTCCACAACTTTGTACCCCTTAATCCACATCTATATGTATCTAATTCTCGTACGTTATTGGGAAAGTACATAGTTTCCTTCACACTGCACAAGGATGTACCCCATGGCTTTGATGTCTTTGTTGCCATTATCTCCATGGCGTGTTGCTCTGTTACCACAGGTGTTGTGTTCACCACCGGGCTTTTCTGTACCAAACCCAATTCTGGAATCTCAATTTCTGCAATAATCTTCGTTGTTACCGAGAATTCCAATTCTTGTGTTGCTAGACTGAGCAAAAGGACTCTTTGCATTCGAACCTTCCTTGTTATAATTGAGTTGAAGGGAGGCCTGTGAGCCAATCAGCGTCTTACAGTTGTCGCGACCTAAGGAAGTTGGCGGAATTTCTCGTCAGCGATCAGTGAGTAGTGAGAACTGGCTTTCTTATTGCTGACAGTGAACCCGATCGGTTCGTCTGTCTTGATACCGAGACAGATCTTAGAGAAGGATGTGTTCCGGTAGGACGGTAGCTTGGTCTCTTCTGAGTGTATATTAGGAAAACCACTTTGCGAAGCAAAAGTTCGTTTGTTCATGTGACGTACGCGGGATGTTATATGACCAGTCCTCTCAATTTAAAAAGACTAAAATAATTTTGAATTACGGAACAATTTGGGAGCCGACTGAACCTCTTTTATTCTAGTGGGTATTACTTTTATCATTATCATAATTATCATCGTTATTATCATCATTTGTGTTATCATTATCATTATTATATGATGTCTTCATTGTTATCGTTCTTCATCGATATGCATAAACGAAAGGCTTGTATTTGTTCTCCTTGTCTAGCCCCTTATTAAATGTGTGTTCCAGTGTTCTTTTGTCCGGGTCACCTTCAAGTGATTGAGCAAAACAGAACCAGAGTCATGTCATTTAAATCTTCACAGATTTCCTGTTCCATTTACGTCTAATTCTCATCCTACGTTTCCTTTCCTCTAAGCGAAGAAAAAGTTTTGGAAAATCGATGGTACCTTTACAAGTCCATCATTAAACTACACCACATTTAGAGAAATTGTGTTGTCTTACATTCCTGCTTTCATTTGTTTATTTCCCAGTCTGAGCATTTATTTGTCTTTTTGTCTTTTATTCCGGTTCATCGGTCCATGAGATCCTTAACTACCCCTTCTCTCACCCCCCTCCCGCTGAGCTTACATGCGTTTGAATGAACAATTCTCAGACTTGTATAGCCGGGGATATTTGGTATGGAGTCAACCCTGATTCACAAGTCAACGTCATCTCCAATAATAATGAAGATATATTGACAATTTTTACCTTCATCACAGGTCTGACCCTTGAATCCAGTGGCACATAGACAGTGATACACTAGGTCAGTAAAACCGCTTTGACAGGTAGAGTTTTTCTCACAGGGATTTTTTGTCACAAGCGCTCTAAAGCAAAAGTAAGGATTTACCTCAAAACACTAAATCATAATAAATCTCCCACAGTTGGTTATCAGTTCCCCTGCCTGAGCTCCCAATTTGTATTAAGCCCCATGTCTTGCATAAACAAATATGATGGTAAGCAAATATAAAGTTTGAAATAAAAATGCTATTATTATATACAATGCAAATAGCTCTATCCAAGATATGCTGAGTATTGGGGTGATTAGTGATGTAACAGTACCTGAAGAAGTTTCAGTTTTAAATTTCTTAATTTTTATTTCGTTTTGTTTTGTTCGTTTTCCTTGACAAAAAAAGCTCCTGCTTAATTCTGTATCTAATGAAGCTGGGCGACTGCCCAGAAGAAGAAGAAGAAAAAAATTAGAATTTCAGCTATCAATGACGTTTTTATCGAGCGCACCTCTACAAAAAAGTCGCCTGTTTAAAACTTCAGTATTTTAATAAGCCACCTGCGGAATTAGGAGGGTGTTCACGTCATGCAAAATAATTCAACAAAAGGTTTTCAATAAATTCTACGAGTCCTCAGCTTCTACGTTCGCTACGAATGATCGACCATACAGGTTCAAGGTAAAAACGATGGATGCCAGATTTGTATGGGTCTGCATGAAATATATTCCCATGCGTTATTGACCAAGCGTGAATTCAAGATGGCTAGATATTGGCCGAGTTCTTTTGTTGCGTTTTCATGGACCGAGACAAAGTTTTACGCCTCCCGTCCCCTGACACTTCCTTAAAAGAATACTCGCTTTAATCATTTTTATCGTAATCTGCAGTTATTAAGCTTTCTTCTGATGTATGGTTTGCTAGGATTCTACTGAAGGTGGGAAGTAACCCTAAACACGTTGACTCGTCTTGAACATCGTATTTGGCTTCTTCTCGTACTTCTTCTTCTTTAAACCTTGAATTGGCATCGCTCAAGAATTTTTTTTTCTTTTTGATGAGGTGAAACAAATTTAGTTTGTGGATTTATGTGGGTTTACAATGGCTTTGTTGATCATTGTTTTCGCCTCATGGAGATAATACGAGAACCTTGACCGCGTACATACTCGCCATAAGCTACATACATGTGGATATATTTACCCATTGCTAAAAAGGAAATTGTAATTTTGGACAAAATCTTCTTTAAACTTAATAACTATACTACCGACATTGTTATTTGATTGTTGTTTTGGTCTGGTCCAGAATTCCTCTCCAGCAGGGGATTATGATGCGCTTTTCTATGATGGATATTTAACCTTGTAAATTACTTCAGTTTTTTCTGCTCTTTATTAAGTAAGAAAATTCCAATAAGAGGTAAGCTTCATTTTAAGTTTAAGGCGCCTTTTATAGGAATGGATAGAGTTCCAGTGATTCAAAACAGAGGCCCCAGGAAAGAAAAGAAAATTAAGATTGAGGCTTTAAGAGTGCGTCGGTATTAATCTATATACATCCCTCGGCCTTACGGCCCTTGGGATGTATACGAATTAATACCTCCGTTTTAGGTATTTATCTCTTACAAAATAAGAACCTTTTCGTACTTAATTCATCAGCGCAGACGCAAACAAGAAGTACAGCATAACAAAAGGATAAACCTCTTCATGCAGATGAAAGCATTCACAAGTATGGATCTTTTACTTCTTAAAATCCAGAGCATATTAAACAAATGGAGTGAGTGCGATAAAAATCAGGAGTCTGATAAAAAGTGAAAAACATTCGCAATTCAGATACATAAAATGAGATTTATAATTCATTTACTCCTACAATGAGTAATGATTAATAAAGTAATATTTGAGAAAGATCTGGCCAAACAAGACGAGTTTGAACCCATTGCTCTACTACCTTGTTAATATAAGACTTCACCCAACAACAACATCAACAGGGATAGTGGAATAGAAATTCCAGAAGCATGGATGCCCACGATCAAAAAACACAACGACAGGAGAGCCGTGTGACAGCGGACCGCCGAGGGAGCAAATCACTGAGTGAAACAGCAAGGATCGAAATGCACCAATCAGAGCTGTTGAAAAACAACTAATCACAGCAGAGCATCATGCTTATAAAATCACGCATGACCAGTTGACCTCATCGCCTGAAGAAGACTAGCAGTATGCAGTCAAAACGTTGCGATCTACATCACACATGACTACATCGTGAGACAAACGAAAAAAATTAGTTTTTATTAACCTTGTTTGAGTTAGTAAACTAATTTTTTTTGCAAATCTATAACGGCTTCATGGCTTAAATGTGAATCTTATGCCTTGTCACTGCACTAAGATGTACCCCATAGCTCGGATGTGCTTGTCTCCATTATCAGGGTTGTGTGTTGCTTCATTTCCGCACGAATTATCTCCTCCTGTACCAAACCCGATTCTGGAGTTGCAGGTAGAGCAGTCATTCTGTTGGTTAGCAATGATGCCGATTCTTGCTCTAAAGAAACCACGGTTGTCACTTACAGCATTAAACCCTTCCTTGTTGCAGTTTCGCTGCAAAGAGGCTTGCGAACCAACCACCTTCTTCCACGTGTCACGACCCAGTAAGGTGGCGCGATATTTCCCGTCAGCGATCAATGAATACAAAGATTCTGCTGTCTTGTTGATAAAGATGAACCTAAGTCGTTGTCCAATCTTCATACCGAGGCAGATCTTGGAGAAGGGTGTTTTCCAGTAGGTTGGTAACTTTGTTTCCTGTAAGTCGAATCCATTCTTGCCAGCAGCATTTTTATAGGTCTTTCTGTCCTCCCAGAAATGAGAAGAGTAATGGAAGGTGTGCTGAAATTGTTGACAAAGGAATTTTCGAATTTAAACATAGCATCAATAATAGCCTGTTTTAGGCTCAGGGTTATCAAATACGCGTAAGGGACTCTTGGTTGCTCGTCTAATAAAGACGACGTTTGGCGGTTGTTACGGAAATCGCAGCTAATTTTGGCCCCCACCTTTTGTAGCTTGCAATGCTGACCTGTATCCTCAATAAATTTGCAAATTAATTTATACTTTGTTGACGACAAAATACTAATTTTTTAGTTTCAGGGCCAAAAAATAGGCTTGAGCGATGCTCGATGGTTGCTAAGGACACAGCAGCAATTTTTCGCTCATCTATTTTTTCTCTGTATTGTCAATGAATTTTCTTCGCGGAGAAATTGTTACCTTACTGCCATTAATCTTCATGATCGGTGTCCATCCTCCATCTCCGCATCCAAAGTCTCCCATGTGACAGAAAACAGAAATTGGTTTTGAGTCTAAGTGCAGAGTAACCTCGTCACTCTTGTTCGATCTGTTGAATGAAATACTTTATCAGGAGTGGAGGTACATTTAAATCTGATGAAGTCCGAGACTTGCACATATTCAGTACGTCATATACATATCTTGTTAAAAGACACAGGGTAGGTTTCAATTATTTTCAAACAAAAAGTTTGCCTAAATGATTATTATCAAGGATCAGGCGCTAAATTGTTGTAATATTAATCTTCTTTATCATTTTGATGGCTCATCTTACTCTCTTTCCTCTTTGAACTAGTAGTGATATTATTATCATCTTTTCCATTCTATTTTGGTTATCAGTGAATTATTTACTCACATATTATGATCGAAGATTTCCTTACACGTTGAGGCTAAAACAAAAAATTGGACATGATATTTAGCTTTGTGTGTAGTTTCGTATTCATGTGAGTATTATAATTATAAAGTTTTCTCCAAAATGCACTAAAACTTGCAAACTGGTTAAAAGGGTACAGCTAATTGCATATCAAAACAAAGCACTCTTTCTGAAGCGACAAAAGGCTCAGTGGGTGGTACTCCAAAATGCTATCAGTTGCAAGCCTTTCTAGTGAGTATAAATGTAAAGCGTTTAACATTAGAACAAGAAACCCCATGAAAACATCACGAGAAAAAACGTACGTTTAGTGCAAATACTTCCATTTCCTAAGTATCCAGTTTTGCATGTACACTTGTAAGATCCCTCAGTGTTGGCGCACTCAGCATTGGTGCTACATGTGTGTGTTCCTTTAGAGCACTCGTCAATGTCTGAAAAAAGAAATTATATCTATAAATATGCATCGTAAATTTTCGATAGCTGTTAAAATTCTCCAATTAATGCTTCTCATTTGAATGTTGAAGGTAACCTCTCAATTTTTGTGTGTGATTTTTCTACTTTGTGATTTGCCTATATACTCTAGCTAACCCTAAGCAAAACTGATCAATGCAACTAAAGCTCGGTCACTCGCGTTTTCTCAGCGTGCAAAGGTGTTGGATTTTAGTCGCTTTATTAATATAATAACGTCGGAGCAACAAAAACTGACAGCTTCCAAACCCCTCGTGGCTTCCTCACTCGTGTTCATTTTTAAAAAGGGTACTAAAAACCACAATTTATACAGGCTGGTGTTTTTCCGCCCACGGGATATTTTGATGCCTAATTTACTTTTGCCGCTTTCTCCTTTTTTTTTCTTGAATGTCGCTGTTATGACTAATGAGGCTGTTACTTTGCCACATTCGATTGAATCAAACCCTAACTTTTGGCGATAATCACATCACAGCTTATTCAGGCAGAGCATGGAAACGGTTCGTTTTTTTGGCAAATGAACTCGTCAGTTTATCGTTTTCTGATAAAGAACGAGTGGGTAGGTCCCAAAAATACTCTACACCCATGCACATTGAAAGAGTTATTACAGCAGGAATTTAAAAGTGGCCTCTGCTCGATCTCCTCCTGTTTATGAAAAGGAATAAACACGCACCGAAAACAACATTCTCTTTCAGCATTGATTATGTTTGGACGTATCTACCATAGATACGTACTCTATAGATATGCATTCTATAGATATGTATTCTATTTATAGATAGTACTGTTTACCTTGGCCACAGTTGCTATCCTTGTATCCAGCAGAACACAAACAGCGATAACCTTTGTCAGTAAAACCGCTTTGACAAGTGCCATTATTCTTACAGTGGTTTATAACACAGGCGCTCTGCAGCCAAAGGGATAATGAGTAACAATGATAATATATTAAGAAAGTAAATGATTTCTCATAGATATTTTAGATGTACTCATCCGCATTGTATCTTCAGCCTTGTGTTTCTCTCGAGGTTGAGACAGAGCCGGTGAAAATGACATTTTCGGCGTTCAGCCCCACCTTCTTTTAGTAGAAATTTAAGGGGGAATTGAATGTAAAGTTAAAGAGCAAGTTTGAACTGATTTATACTGTTATTTTTTTTAATGGTTAAATCTTCATTTACTACGTGCCTCAGCTGAATGATGAAAGAAATCTTGGTCCTCCGTCAGATCCTCCTTGTGTCCTTCACGAGTAACACTATTCAACTCACATTTATAATTCCCATTTTCATCTGCCCGTTTATCAAGATTAATGCTGACGCAGTCGGGTTCCATGTAGCAGACGTTCTCACAAAAGCTTGCGACCTTGACCTCGACGACGCGAATCAAATGGTTTATAAGCCGTGTGCCATCGAATGCTTCTTCAGGTGCAAACTCCAGGATACGGCATTGGTCCGTGCCACAGAAGCCTTTACATAATTCAAAATAAACTTAGTATAAGCGTTGAAGCCAAAATTAAAAGCTATCGCAGTTAACTATTGGAGTTCTCCAAATATTCACAAATCGAAATACAACTTTGCAATACTTGCAGTGGTTTATAAAAACACTTGTCGCACTTTTTGATACAAAATCTGTCAGAGGATACTAAGACCCAATGATAACTGTCAATGGTAATAATAATAATATAACATAATGATAATAAAGTAATAATAATGGTAATAATAATATAACTGATAACAGCAAAAGTAAAGTTGATGGTGACAAGAATGAAAATAATAATAACAATTGTTACGATAGGAACTACTAATCTGTACTTCTAAGCGTGACTTGATTAACGCGGGACGCACGCCAAGGGAGTCTAATATACCGGATCTTAGCCGTATGAAATAAACTGGTTGTTTTGAAACTTAAAGCTGTCTTCTCAGATCTACCAAGCAAACTAAACATTAATAGCAATGAGAATAACAGCCACATGTATCGTTGGATGTACTTGCTTTCCGACTTTCCATTCCAAGATCATAAAAAGGTGCGACAAACGTTACTACAAAGTGCGACACGTTAATTTGCTGCAAAGTGCAAGGGTCTTTCTTTTAATTAAGTGCGACAGCTGTTTCATCACAAATTTCGACAAGTGTTATTACAAAGTGCGACATTTTTATTGAAACAAGAAAGCGACGACTATTACAAAGTCTCCCTTACTTCGTGGAGAACATTTTTTTTACGTCTATAATATTTGAAAGGCAAATATCATGAAAAATGTCCTTAAAGAGCCACATTGAATGATAGAAAAATGTGTTAATAACATACTTGTAAGAATTTCAAACATATTTACCAAAGTCGACCGACGGAACACTCTCCCGCTGACTTAGTGTAAAACAACTTTTCATTTCAATAACATTCGAAAACAAAAATAATGAAAAATGCATTTTAAAAGTCAAAGAAGGTATTAGAGAAATCTTGTATTATACAACAATGTCTATAACTATGCACTCTAAATGTATGAAGACCAAAAGAATATGAAACACATTAGAAACAGATTAAGATAACAAACTCTATAACATCAAAGTAAAGGAATAAAAAAAAAAAAAAAAAAAAAAAAAAACACTCGCTAATTAGCCGCTTAAAATGACTATCAGGTTCAATTTGCTAGTGGAAACAAGCCACCCAGTTATAGATCCACCTTTAATTTTCTTGGATTAGTAGTTTAAAAAAAGTTTAAAGCCTTGTTATACCGCGGATATAAGGATTTATGTAATGAAAGCGAAAAACTTATTCCTCATTCAAAGAAATAATTAATGTTCGCAAACTATGATTACGAAGGACCGTTCCTCTTAAATTACTAATTTACCTTGACCATACTCGGCTCAAAAAGGGGACTGGAGAAACTTACCTTGAGGCGAGACAGAGGCAGACGCCATTAGGCACAAAGGCAAAAGAGAACTGATAAAAATCGAGGTTTTCATGGCGTGGATCGCATTCCGAGGTCTCCTGAGAGATGAGCAAACTGATGTGAAAATTTGTTTCAGATATTGTTTCGTTTAATTAAAAGTTTCTGATTCTCTTCTATCCAATAGGGTTTCGATTTTAATAGATTGTTTTCTTTTTATTGGCTATCTATTGTTATAGAGCTAACCAAATGTGGTTTTCGCCTTATTTGTTAACTATAACATTAATTTGGGGCAATTAGATTACTCAAATCACGTCACAAATAGTATGTTCAATTTAATTAATAATTAATAGCATCTGTCTAATAACCGAGTTTTTTTTTTCTACAACCCTATCTCCTTCAGATAGGATAAAAAATAACATGTTTGAAGTGATTTAACATGACCTTCCTTGGCTTGTATTAATCATCAATTCTGGATGTAAAAAAACAAACAAACAAACAAACAAACGAGACAAAAATGAATTATCATAACATTTATCTCCGAACCTACAATTATAAGTAGGTTTTAAGATTTAAAATTGACTGTAATCCTTTTTAATACTTACGTTCCAATTGAAAATTTCAAGAATTTTGTAATAAATTTACGAATAAATCATCTCTGAGGTGAGCCAAAAGAAACAATCAGTGTCTTGGATCTTACCTTATCCTTCCTTTGTTCGTAAGAACTTTGATATCGCAATAGCGACGAATTGAGGTTACTTTCCACCTTCAGAGGCCGAAAAAAATCGATTTTTATTTGACTAAACTGAGCTCAAACATTAAAACTAACTTTCCATAACAAAAAATTAAATAATATGAAGAAAAAATTCTGAAATCTTTAATGGCACTCAAGATATTTGGAAAAATGTATTTATTTATTACCTTTATTTAACTTACAACCCTGTCGAATATTAACAATCTGAAAGTTCGGGGAGGGCTTGATAATGTAGCAGGGAAGAGCGGGGCTTCAGGGATTTATACAAATAAATTCCTGAAGCGAAGGATTTATTAGAATTTCTACAAATTAATCCCTCATTAAATATTTACTTTGAGGACCACAGCAAAGTTGATAAAGAGTGTTTGGCGGGTAAACAGTACCTCGATCCTTTTTCCTACGAACTTCTACAACCAATTTGCTCAGCTAATAATTAAGTTCCCCGTTGTCAGTAATGATATTGAGAATGTCAAGATTGACTTGAGGAAGTGTAGTTCCACTTTCACCTTTGATTGCGATCATTCCGTTTCGCTTCACTGCCCATTCAGTCCAAGTACGAACTGCCCACGATGTATTTATTCTTGTATTTGGTGGTATTCGAGATTCCTTCCTCTTCTCAAGTTCTTCACCATCAAAGATCAAAATCTTCCTTACTGTTTCTGGGCAATTCGATGGGTCCGTCCGTCCATCCTTGATGCTTTCCTCGGTCACAACTTGCTTTCATTCTTTCGCACACGAATTTCGTGGAGCAGGCTCATCACTAGCTACTAGGCCGTCTAAAATATAATTAATACTAAAATTGTGTTGTAATATTTCTTTCGAAAAACTATTTGAGTAAGAAAAAGCTCCCCGTCGCTATACACGCCGTCCATAATGACAGCACTAATGTAGAAAAATGAGTCGTTGGAAAACGTTCGTACACATTTAACGAAAAACTAGTAAACAAGAACAAAAACGAAATATCAAACAATACAACACAGACAAAAAAACAAAGAAAATGCAATGCTAAATTCCTTGTGGACTCGCCAAAATATCAGAGTGCAAAAAAGTCTTGTGGTTGTTACGGTGGAATTCGCAACAACTTTTCACGGTCCTGTGAGAAACGCACACATCAGGTTGCTTTCATTGTATCTGCTTTGATCCGACGATGGTGTAACCGTACTAATTAGCCGGTGTTTGGCCCCTTGAAGAAAGTATCGTTATATAAAGATCCCTCATGAATAATATCATGAAATAAGTTAGATAAGTACCTCGAACGTCGGTATTAATCCATAGACATCCCTGGGCCCTACGGTTCCTCGGGATGTCTATGGATTAATACCTCCGTTTTCGGTATTTATCTCTTACAAACATTTGGTTCTAAAGGTAATAAGCCTTCAATGCAATCATTGAACTACGCTAGAGCATTGTTGTAAAGGCGGACATCCTCATTGAGATGTTAAAGTGACAGCTGTTGTACCAAAGAACCCTCTGACAGATATTCATGGCATATTGCGGGTTCTCTGATATTAATCAGCGTCTTTTTATTTGCCAGAGACGTAGGTCGAGAAGCATTGGCTACAAAGCCATATACTGATGTGCTTGTGGCATCAAATTGACAGAGGTCAAAACGATGAAAGCGATGACCAATACCTCTCTTTACACAATTGGCTCAGATTCTTTAGCACAACAGATTTTTGACGATATACTTGTGTGATCAGTGCTGAAGTTAACACTTGATGAACCAAATCACAAGTAAAGGAAGTCTATTGACCTATACGGTAGACAAATTTCGGGCTCGGAATTGCAATTTGTACCGTCTTCCCTTGCCAGATTTGTATGGTTCTGCATGAAATATATTCATATGCGTAATTGATCAAGCGTGAAGTCAAGATGGCTAGATGTTAGCCGAGTTCTTTTGTTGCGTTTTCATGGACCAAGACAAAGTCGAGGTCCATAAAAACGCAGAGAAAGACCGAGGCTAATATCCAGCCGTCTTGACCGAATAAGCATGGCCAAGAGAGAACATTAATTCCACGGTCGATTTTTTTGTCTTCATCTCTTCTAACCGCCGTAGGGAAGAAAATGAATGGATAAATAAATACATTAAAAAAGCCGAACAGTTTCCACTTATAGCTACGAGGTACCTGAACTGGTTACCGAGGTGGAGTGAAGCCACAGAGGGCTAGAAATGCAATATCTCAGGTTCAAAATTGAATAAATCAAGATCATCCTTCTCACAAATGAACTCAGATGCTTCATTAAAATCTATTGACACTGAATAACATTGCTGTGGAAAATTTCAGTAACACTTGTGAGAGTAATACTTTTGTTTTGGATTAACAAGTGACACAGCTACTTGTGCACTACTAATGACGACTTTAACATCACCAACAACATCAGCGATAGCGTGCTAGTTTATCAGAAATTATAGTCAATTTTTTTTTTCCCAAAAGAATCCTAATAACGTACCAATTCAGTCCATCCACTTGAACTCCCAGCCAAGCATTGGCCCAGTTTGGACTTGAAATTATTTTTCTCAACTCGATCAATAAACCACTGAGAGACAGATCATGCGATCACTGCGCTTGTCATTGAGTTCAATCATCGATGACATACTCCAGATTTTTGTTAAACGTTTGTTTTGTGATCGGCAATCTGAGCCGACGTTTTGTGATGATGTGCTGGTCAGCAGCTTCTTTGCAATTATGCCTGTTCAATGTAAGTCACTGAGTATATAATTTGATGCAGACCCATGTAATACGTCATCCGTTGGTCGGATTTGTGCATCCATTTCAAGTTCGAATTTGTACATGCATTTCAAGATCAAGAGAAAATAAATATCCCAATATCTGATCGGTTTTCGTCAAATTTCGCCAAACCATTCCAGGAATAATGACAAACGAAAGCGTGTCGGGAAATTTTGATATTTGAAATATTTTTCCCATGGTGTCCATTTACGAAACATGCCTCGCATATTCTTAGCTATTCCAACTTGAGATGCCACTATTTAGACAACCAATTAGAATCTGGAAAAAGCGTGTTATACTTTTGATGATTGATGCTTTGTGAATAAGACTGTGTAGCCATTTTGCTCGTGCTAAGGCATCCGATACCCGATAAATACAGAACCTTTGGTAGTTCTACGCCTTACCAGCTCCCGACACTTTAAATAAAACTCGCTTAAATTATATTTTTATCGTAGTCTGCAGTTATTAAGCTTTCTTATGATGTATGGTATGCGACGGTTCTGCTGAAACTAGTGCGCGTAGGAATTATTTCCCGAAGAATACCTGCGCAGGTAGGAAGTAACCCTAAACGCGTTGACTCGTCATAAACATTGCATTTGGCTTTTTCTCGTACTTCTGCTTCTTTAAACCTTGAATTGGCATCGCTCAAGTAATTTTTTTTCTTTTTGATGAGGTGATATATATTTAGTTTGTGGATTTATAAGGGATTACAATGGCTTTGTTGATCATTGTTTTCGCCTCATGGAGATAATCCGACAACCTTGACCGCGTAAATACTTGCCATAATCTACATACATGTGGATGTATTTACCCATTGCTTATAAAGGAAATTATAATTTTGGACAGAATCTTCCTTAAAACTTAATATCTACACTACTGACATTGTTATTTAATTTTTGTTTTGGTCTGGTTGAGAATTGCTCTCCAGCAGGGGATTATGATGCGTTTTTCTATGATGGATATTTAACCTTGCAAATCACTTCAGTTTTTCTGCTTTGTATTAAGTAAGAACATTCCAGTAAGAGGTAAGCTTCATTTTAAGTTTAAGGCGCCTTAAATAGGAATGAATAGAGTTCCAGTGATTCAAAACAGAGGCGACACGAAAGAAAATAAAATTAAGACTAAGGCTTTTAGAGTACGTCGGTATTAATCCATACACATCCCTAGGCCTTACGGCCCTCGGGATCTACATGGATCTTACAAAATGAGAACCTTTTTGTATGTGATTCATCAGCGCAGCCATGCAGAGGACACAAACAAGAAGTATGGCATAACAAAAGGATAAACCTCTTCATGCAGAATGAAAGCATTCACAAGTGTGGATATTTTACTTCTTAAAATCCAGAACATATTAAACAAATGGAATCTAGAGTAAAAGAGCAAGTGCGAGAACAATTCGCATTTTAGGTACATAAAATGAGATTTTCACTGGACGCCACTACTCGACTGAGAAGGGCGTAAAATTATGTCTGTTCTACAGGTAAACCAGGAGCTCACGAACTTTAACGCCGTGAAATTCGAAAAATATTACAAAAATCTAATATGGCTTAACTGCCAATTTGTTCTTCGTTTTCACAACCTAAATTAAGCTTACACAAATATAACGTCAAAGACCGGAGTTGTAAAGTAATTTTTGAGGCAGATCTGACCAAACAAGACGATAAGTTTGAACCCATTGCTCTATTACCTTGTTTTAGTTAGTAAACTACTTTTTTTCAAATCTATAACGGCTTCATGGCTTAAATATGAATCGTATGCGTTGTCACTGCACCAAGATGTACCCCATGGCTTGGATGAGCTTGTCTCCATTATCAGGCTGAAGTGCTGCTTTATTTCCGCACGAAAGATATCCCACAGTACCAAACCCGATTATAGAATTGCAAGTGAAGCAGTCATTCTGCTGGTTACCAATGATGCCGATTCTTGCTCTTAAGAAACGGCGGCGGTCACTTAGAGCATTGAACCCTTCCCTGTTGCAGTTTTGCTGCAAAGAGGCTTGCGGACCAACCACCTTCTTCCACGTGTCACGACCCAGTAAGGTGGCACGGTATTTCCCGTCAGCGATCAATGAATACAAAGACTTCGCTGTCTTGTTGATAAAGATGAACCTGAGTTGTTGTCCAATCTTCATACCGAGGCAGATCTTGGAGAAGGATGTTTTCCAGTAGGTTTTCAACTTTGTTTCCTGTAAGTCGAAGCCATTCTTGCCGGCACCATTGTTATAGGTCTTTCTGTTCCCCCAGAAATGGGACGAGTAATGGAAGGTACGCTGAAATTGTTGACAAAGGAATTTTCGAATTTAAACATAGCATCAATAATAGTCTGTTTTAGGCTCAGGGTTGTCAAATACGCGTGAGGGACTCTTGGTGGCTCGTCTAGTAAAGACGACTTTTGGCGGTTGTTACAGAAACTGCAGCCAATTTTGCCCCCACCCTTTTTTAGCTTGCAAAGCTGAACAATATCCTCAATGAATTTGCAAATGAATTTATACTTTATTGACAACAAAACATCAATTGTTTAGTTTCAGGACCAAAACTAGGCTTGAGCAATGTTCGATGGTTACCAAGGACACAGCAGCAATTTTTCGCCCATCTATTTTTTCCCTGTATCGTCAATGAGTTTTCTTCGTGGAGAAATTGTTACCTTACTGCCATTAATCTTCATGATCGGCGTCCATCCTCCATCTCCGCATCCAAAGTCTCCCATGTGACAGAAAACAGAAATTGGTTTTGAGTCTAAGTGCAGAATAACCTTGCCACTCTTGTTCGATCTGCTGAATAAAATACTTTATCAGGAGTGGAGGTAAATTTAAAATCTGATGAAGTCTGAGACTTGTACATATCCAGTACGTCATATATAACTTGTTAAAAGACACGGGGGAGGTTTCAATTATTTTCAAACAAAAAGTTTGCCTTAATGATTATTATCAAGGATCAGGAGCTAAATTGTTGTAATATTAATCGCTTCTATCATTTCGATGGCTCATCTTATTTTCTTTTCTCTTTGAACTAGCAGTAATACTATTATCATTTTTTTCCATTCTATTTTGGTTATCAGTGAATTATTTACTCACATATTATGGTCGAAGATTTCCTTGCACGTTGAGGCTAAAACAAAAAATTGGACACGATATTTAGCCTTGTTTGTAGTTTCGTATTCATGTGAGTGTTATAAGTGTTAAAAGTTTCCTCCAAAATGCACCAAAACATGCAAATTAGTTAAAAGGGTACGGATAATTGCATATCAAAACAAAGCACTCTTTCCGAAGCGACAAACCCTAAATGGGTGGTACTGCAAAATGCTATCAGATGCAAGCCCCTCCAGAGGATTTAAAGAACAAAAGGCTACCGTTTCTTTAGAAAAATCGTCACAAGAAATCCTATGAAAACATCAATAGAAAAGACTTACGTTTAGTGCAGGTATTTCCATTTCCTGAGTATCCAGTTTTACATGTACACTTGAACGATCCCTTAGTGTTGGTGCACACAGCATTGGCACTACATGTATGTGTTCCTTTAGCACACTCGTCAACGTCTGAAAAAAAAATTATATATATATATATATATATATATATGCATCGTAAATTTTCGATAGCTGTTAAAATTCTCCAATAACGCTTTTCATTTGAATGTTGAAGGTAACCTCTCAATTTTTGTGTGTGATTTTCCTACTTTGTGATTTGCTCATATACTCTAGCTAACCCCTAAACAAAACGGATCAACGTAACTAAAGCTCGGTCACTCGCGTTTTCTCAGCGTGCAAAGGTATTGGATTTTACTCGCTTTATTAATACAATGACTTCGGAACAACGAAAACTAGCAGCTTCCAAACCCCTTGTGGCTTCCTCACTCGTTTTGATTTTTGAAAGTATCCTACGGGATACTTTGCTCGTCCCCGCTTTGATGCCTAAGTTATTTTTGCTGCTCTTTGTCTTCTTTCTTGAATGTCGCTGTTATGACTAATTAGGTTGTTGTTTTACGACATTCCGTTGAATCGAACCCTAATTGTTTTCCATAATTACAACACAGTTTATTCAGATAGAGCATGGAAACGGTTGGTTTTTGTGCAAATAAACTCGTCAGTTTATCTTTTTCTGATAAAGAACGAGTAGGTAGGTCCCAAAAATACTCTACGCTCATGCACGTTGAAAGAGTTATCGCAGCAGGAATTTAAAAGTGGCCTCTTCTCGATCTCCTCCTTTTTATGAAAAGGAAAAAACAAGCACCGGAAGCAAATCTTCTCTTTCAGCATTGATTATGTTTGAATGTATCTACCATAGATACGTACTCTATAGATATGCATTCTATAGATATGTATTCTATTTATAGATAGTACTGTTTACCTTGGCCACAGTTGCTATCCTTGTATCCAGCAGAACACAAACAGCGATAACCTTTGTCAGTAAAACCACTTTGACAAGTGCCATTATTCTTACAGTGGTTCATAACACAGGCGCTCTGCAGCCAAAGGGATAATGAGTAACAAGGATGCAGCGCAAGAAACATGTTAGACAAATTTCGTAATTCATTAGCTAGAGGTACTAATATCATGGGCAGTTGGCTAAAAGAAATCTACATTGTAAGTAGTTACATCAGAGGTTACCGAATAATATAACAGAAAGAATCTCTAAAAGACGCCTTGTATTTCTAGCCAGAGGACAATCATAAAACAAGCATTCATACCTGGAAACTTCAAGAGAAGATAAAAGAGAAGCCCATACGATTCTGGCGTCTTGATTTACTAATTCACCGTTATCGCGTGTATACTCTTCAATCGACTGGTGATGTCTAGACTCGAAGTAGTTAACCGTCGTTTCTTTCAGTTTTGGCTCATTTTCCCAAACCAAAATTATCAGTCACGCTCAAAAGAATATAATTTCAACTGATGCTAACATCGCACACTTCCTCTGAAGAAGAAAAGATTCTCTATATTCGAAAATTTGCTCATCACATCAGAAACAATAACGAAGGTCCTCAGCTGCTTGAAGATACCGCTGACTAGCATGCTTTTTATCGCAAGTCGTGAGAACGTCGCCCCCAGGTTCCAGACCTGGGGACTGGTCTTTTAATCCTCTTGAAGAAACTCTTCTACAGCCAACCAAGAGTTTTATTACAGTTTTTATTATAATGAGGGGCTGGAAAATAAACTAACAAGAGCACCGCTTTTAGGCTTGGCTAAATCTGTATATTATATTACGCAAGTAAATGATTGCATATAGATATTTTAGATGTACTCCTTCACTTCACGTCAGCCTCAGCATTTTTATCAGAAATTCAAACGAATTTGAATGATTAATTTGATGTATTTTTTTTCGTTTCTTAGTTGATAAATCAGCAGTTAATACATACCTCAGCTGAATGATGAAAAAAATATTGGTCCTCCCTCAGATCCTTCTTGTGTCCTTCACGAGTTACATTATTCAGCTCACATTTATAATTTCCATTTCTATCTGTCCTCTTATCAAGATTAATGCTGACACAGTCAGGTTCCATGTAGCAGACGTTCTCACAAAATCTTGCAACATTGACTTCGACGACGCGGATCAAATGGTTGATCAGCCGTGTACCATCGAATGCTTTTTCAGGTGCAAACTCCAAGGTGCGGCATTGGTCCGCGTCACAGAAGTCTTTATAGAATTCAAAATAAACTCAGTTTGAGCGTTGAAGCCAAAATTAAAGCCATCGCAGTTAACTATTGGAGTTCTCCAAATATTCATAATTCGTATTATCACTTGTAAAACCTGCTGTGCTTTGTAAAAGCACTTGTCGCAACTTATATTAAAAATCTGTCAGAGCACAATAAGACAAAATAATAATTGTCTTTAATAATAATAATAATAATTCTAATAATAATAGTAAAATATAATGATAATAAAAGCAATAGAGACGGTAATAATAATATAACTAATGAGAGCAAAAGTAATGTTTATGGTGACGAGAATGAAAATGATGATAACAATTGTTACGATAGGAACTGCTTCTCTGTAATTCTAAGCGTGACTTGATTAACGCAGGCCGGGTCTAATAGACCGATCTTATACGTAAATACGTGCATGATTTTAGCCCATGAAATAACTGGTTGTTTTGAAACTAAAAACTGTCTTGTCCAAACTTACCACGCAAACAAAACAATAATAGTGATGAGAATGACAGTTACGTGTATCATTGGGTCTACCTGCCCTCCGACCTTCTATTCGAAGACCATTATAAGGTGCGCGAAACGTTGCTAGAAAGTGCGCCTCGTTAATTTGTTGCAAAGCGCAAGGGTCTATTTTTACAAAGTGCGACAGCTGTTTCATCACAAACTGCGACAAGTTTTATTGCAAAGTGTGACAATTTTATTGAAACAAGAAAGCGACGACTGTTGCGAAGTCTCGCCTGCTTAGTAGTAAATAATTTTTTACGTCTATAATATTTGAAAGAAAAAGATCTTAAAAGATGTCCTTAAAGAGCCATATTGGATAATAAAGAAATATTTTAAAAATATACTTGTAAGAATTTGAAACATTTTTACAAAAGGCGACCGACAGAACACGCTCTCACGTACTTAGTGGAAAACCATTTTTCATTTCAATAACATTTGAAAAGAAAATTCATAATTTTTTTTTTAAAGTCACAGAAGGTATTAGAGAAATCTTGCAGTTATGCCTATGAGAATTAAAAAAGCCTCCAAAAGTTTTTCAGACCACTTATTTCACCACGCGCATTTCCACTTGATGCTTAGTAACTTCATGTGGCTTAACATTTTGGTAATTTTAAGCCAGAAATAGTTTTACATGAGTATTTGGAATCCCCTAGACTAAAGACGATGAAATTTTATTTGCTCCGTTCGCTTTCCGACGAGTGCGCTTTCCGACAAACCGTTATCTAATTTATGAAATACAAGTATTTCATATATGAGATAAAGGTTTTGTTTGTACAGATATACCTCCAAAACTGCAAAACATATCAAACAATGTTTGTGAAGAAAATGAGAAAAAGTATATTTTTCTGCTCAATTTCTATCTTCAGTGATGGGTTAAAGTGTAATTTACCTTGAGTCGCAGAGGCAATTCTGCACAACGCCAAAGCGATACAGATACCACCTGAATGTATGAACATCGTGGCAAAGAACTTAATTGAAAAATTCTCGCGCACTTATGTCTAAATTAACATGCACGTAAAAGCTAATTAACAACGTTCTGTCATGAGCATGACTTTCCATTTCTTTCTTAGCCAATGAAGTCCCAGCCTTTGAAGACATTAAAATTATTTAAATTACCCCATTTCGTTCTATAACAATGGAAAAAATAGTAATTTAGTTGACAAATTGGTTAAAAAGAGCTCATCTGTAACTATCACTCGGCACATTTCACGACCTACCGTTATAAATCCCTTGGTTGCTTAATTATCTAAAGGGGTCTTTATGATCATGTGGTAGTTTAGAATTGAACCAGCCGGCATGTAATATTTGACAGAATGTAGCAGGTGGATTTGATGTCTTCATTTCCACCAACCGATCAGGATCTTGCTTGGAAACCACGAATATCATCATCATTGAGTTCTACTCTGCGAACACCATTTCTGGAGTTACAGTGGCTTAAAATAAAACGAGTCACAAAACTTTCACAGCAGAGAGATTTTGGCGTTTGTGCCGTCCATCCCTATGGTCAGCATCCATCATCCATCTCATCCAACGTTTCCAATTTTACAGCGAAGAGAAATCTTTTGCAAACCAAGTGTTAGCGTATACACTTGGATCTCTGCGATGACACACTTAACGAAGGCTAAGAAAAACAGGAGGGCTTTATTCACTATAAATACAACATTTTCTTTGTAATAATAATAATAATCGCAGTATAAAATTAAAATTAAAATAAGACTCATAATCATCACACAAAATGGACTTAAACATCAGTTGATCAAGTACTAAAAGTTACACTTCAAGACTAAAATTATTATGAACGTGCTTATTTGTCTTGTGTTTATTTTGACGAGACTGGTTGTTAGGAAACACAACAATGACTATTTGGAATTTATCACATATCCCGGCTGATAACCATTGTTTATGTCTACCCGTGCAATAAGGTTCTCCGGCTTCGTCTCAAGCGGGGTAATGGCCTTGCTTGTTTGAGAATCATTTATAAGATCTATTTAATTGATGTAAATGATCAGAATATCGCTTTCCCAAACATTGGAACCTTTCCTGCTTACCCGTTCAATAAGGTTCTCCTACTTCGTCTCAAGCGTCTTGATGGCCTTGCTGATTTGAGAATTATTTGAAAGATCCGTTTAATTAATGTAACTGATCAGAATATCGCTCTCCCGAGCATTGGATGAAGGTCCCTGTTGTTGAGTTTGTACAAAATGAAAACAAAGCAAAGCTTGATCGATGAAATCAAAATGAATTACCGATCAAAGAGGTGTAAGAAAAATCAGACATGTTCAAATACAAAACCCTTCCGCTTTTAGCCAGCTAAGAGAGCGAGAGGACTTGGTTTGCAGTTCTTACTGTAACTTAAATGTGGCGGTACCTTCACCTTGGGGGAAGGGGGATGGTAGGCTACACGAAGGCTACTCTTACTGCACATCTTTCTGATTTTCTATAGTCTATCCTTGGTTTTCACATGACGTCATAAAAATACAAAATCCAAATTTACAAGGGCTATTACAATTCTGAAAGACGAAAGACTTTCGAAAAATTAATTTTTTGGAAAGGTTTCAGCGTCGTAGGGTTCTTCATTCTGAAAAGAGAGCTATTTCTAATTTCCTAATTTTTCGCCACACGACATTAAAAATTGTGGCCCGGGGAGCTAATACTTTTCTATAATAACATTTCATTTTGAGCATTCGCAACATTACAAAATGCGTTTAAACGAATGCTTGCAGGTTCACACGGGATAAATAATCTCTTAAGTTACGAAAGAAAACAACGGATGTTTATATTACCTCATGGCCGCCCCTTGGATGGGCACCAACATGGCGTCCTTTTACTAAGCTCTATAAATCTATGTCAGACATTTTTGGTGAATAACTCATCAGGGCAAAACCTTAGTCCTGAGACTTAAGAAAATTATTCATCATCAGTATTTTACAATAGCTGACTTTTTTGGCGTCAGGTATTTAGTAGTTTTGATTTCAGATTTTATTTGAGTGACAGAGAAAACCATCAATTAAAATAATAATAATAATAATAATAATAATAATAATAGTTGTAGGGGTAGTCAGTCACATTGCGTGACTTCAATGTCTTTGCAAGATGTGTTTGTCTCCATTATCTGCCGCAGCAATCACCTCGTTTCCACAGGTGTTTGAGTCATCATTAGATCCTCCTGTACCAAATGCAATTCTAGAATTACAGGAACTGCAATCGTTTTCGTTGTTAGAAATTATGCCAATTCGTGCTTTGTAATAACCTGCGGATGCCCTAGCATTGAATCCTTCCCTATTACAGTTGCGCTGTAAGGAGGCGTCCGAACCAATCAGTCTCCTCCAAGTGTAACGACCCAGTGAGGTGCCGCGGTATTTTCCATGAGCGATCGGTGAGTAAAGAGAGTTAGCGTGCCTGTTGATTATCATGAACCTGTTCTGATGGCCGATTCTCATACCGAGACAGATCTTGGATAAGTACGTGTTCCAGTAAGTCGGCAATTTTGTTTCTTGTAAGTCGAAGCCAGTCTTGGCTCCAATGAGATTAAAGGTATTTCTGTCGTTTTAGAAGTGCGATTCATAATGGAAAGTACTCTGAGTTAAGAATGAAAAATACGTAAACATCTTCTTCATTTTGATAAAATACCCCTATTAACTTGTTGGTGGAGCATATGTATTTTACCTTTGTGCCATCAATCTTCATGGCCAGCGTCCATCCTCCATCTCCACACCCAACGCTTCCCATGTGACAGTAAACAGCAATCTCCTGTGAACCAAACCTCAGCAGGTACACTTGGCTTCGTCTTGACCTTAAAGGAAAGGAATAAGAAATATAATTGTTATCACTAATATTTAAAAGAATAAAAGATAAATTGACGACTATTTATTTCGTTTTATCAGTTTAGAAAGTCAAAAACGAACAAGCGAAAACGATGGCAGACGAGGAATAAAAAAATTCCTGAAGGAAAAGTTTTGATGAGTGAAACAGTGGTTGTAGGGTTGTAAAAGTATTTTGCAGATTTCTTTGCCGACATTTCTTATTTCGAAATGTCGGCAAAGAAAAAAAAAGCATTTGTCTTTTGTAATTAGCAGACAGCTGAAGAGAGCTATAACATCGAAAAAGTGAAAAAAAAACATGACTTCAAAAAAAAATGCTAATATTTATTTTCTCAACATCTCGTCACCGCTAAGCTTACCAAGCATAAAACAAACGCGCAGACATCCACTTCAGCAAAATGTTAACTACTTCAGGAGTGTGCCAGAAATGAAATAGGTAATTTCTGACAGCCAACGCAACTTAGAAACAATTTGGGTTATCGCATCTCAGGGTGAGAGAAATGCGCATGGAGTAAGGTGGATTACACGGGCAAAACAAAGACTGGCCCGGCACCCTCTATGTGGCATGCACAAGTCTTTGTCTCAACGAGGGGAGTGCTGGGATTTTCGGTTTTGCGGTTTTGGCTATTTGTTTTATCGTTTTCTCGGTGTTTTAGCATTTGCCTTTCGGTTTAGTCCAAAATACTTAGGAGTTTTCGGATTTGGTATTCGATGCGGTTTTCGGTCTTTTCCTATTTGGGTTCGATCTGAGCAACAATTATGCGCCTCCACTGATCTCGAATGAGGCTCGAAAGGCATAGGAATGGGGCATGACAAACCAAATGTCACTAAAATAACTTCTTTTAGGTGAAATAACATAGGCATCCGCGTTTTCCCCCCTTTTTTTAAACGAGTAGAGGAGAGACGGCGAGGATCTCATGCAGTTTTCGGTTTTGATCGATTTTATAATTTTTTTTTCAGTTTTGCTGCTTTAAATTATTTTAAATGATGCTCAACCAGTGTGCTTGATGTCACGCTTGACGTGAGCTATGACACGTGCGCAAAAAGATGCGCGTGCGATATAGAAATACAAATACGACTACTTTAACTGAAAATTTGCGAATGACCTGTGATTTGCTTCCAAGCTTTGCTTAAATGCTTGCGGCTAGATTGCAGGGCGAGAGAAGCACAAAGGCGCGGTAAATGTCACGAAAATTGTAGACCGTGTCATTTTGCTCGCTTAAACTGCGTGCTATTTCACTCCCTAGTGAGCCATTTCACTCAGTGTCGTGGTAGACACACTTCTTTGCTCCACGTGACACACACGTTTGTTTTCATCGTGCATCGCGAACAATAGCAAAATTCTACTACAGCTTACAACCGCGACACGCCGCTCCGAAGCCGACGTTTAACTAGAAAGTCTCCGTCGGCTTCAACTAAATAGGTAAAGCAGATGTCTCTTTACTTTCAAAAGTAAAAATATTACGTTTTTTAAAGTTACTTTTAAGAATAAAAGAGCTAATAAATGAGATTGGATGTCCCTCTAGTACTCTTTTACTTTGTTTGATATGGTCATTATGAATCACTAGTAAATTCTCTATAAGACTGAGTTTGGCCCTTCGAGTGTCAAGAGGCCTTTACGTTTCATTTGGAAATTACTTCCTTTTCTTTTAGTGGTGGTGAAATTATGATACGCCAAATTTTCTCATTCTTCTGCTGTGGAATTATTTCGCTAATCTATGAACTGTCGTTGTATTCAACCCTTTAGCCTCTAAGAGTGATTCACATCTTATTTCTCTCTACAATAACACCTCTGAGTCACACAATGAAGACACGAGAATAGAGGAAATGACCACCGACTACATAAGTTCTTCAACAATTATTCCTTGTCAGCAACTTGTCCGGAGATGTGTAGAGAACAGTGTGGAGAATATGCATACTGATGTTAGGGTGTAAAGAGTAAACAAAAAGAACGTCAAAGTGACAATCATAAGGCTTTTTTAATCTACTGCAACTAAATAAAAAAATATATAGCATGCAGCATGCCAAAATGGTATTTTGTGATCAAAACGATGAACTTACTTTCCTTTCTCGTACTGTTCCTTGCAAGAGGAGAAGGGACCTACTGAAACTGTGATAAAGGAAACTTAATGAGCTTAAGCTTGAGGAAGGTTGATCAATTATTTCATAGCGGATTACCTGGTGCTTGTTGTGGTTGCGGAGGCGCGGTTCTGTTAACCAAAGCAATGAGTTTTTCCAGCTTTGTTTCAAGCGCTTTTATGGCCTTGCTGACATTAGAGTCTTGATTTAAGTCACAGTTACAAACCAACACCTTATCGCAGTGATTAATGTTGACAGATGGTGTTTCGTTACCGCTTATGAGCAACGAAGATCTCGCAACATGTAACAGGGCAACGCATATCACGAAATCAGCGATAAAACAAACTGGAAATGAATAGCGCATTTTGAGGATCTTTTGCAAACACTCTATGTCTCAACTTGTGTAGGACTGTAAACTCTGATCGATGCTGAAATATGACAGTTTCAGCATTGGGCTTATTTCATTTCAGACAAACAAAAGATGTGATATAACACCTTTTTTGGCATTGGTAACTTGGGGGAGATATTCTCGGTATAAGATCTTTTTGTTTAAGTGAAGAGACGCAAATCAGCGAACAGTATGAAAAGGTCTCAAATAGCGTGGATCTCCGCAAGAAATTGCATCGACCGTCTAAGAAAGAATGAAATGTGTTACTGATTTAACTGAGAACTTTCTAATTCTGGCTTTATCGTATCTGTTAATTAATGTACTCTGAGTCCCAGTCAGCCGTGTAATTCGTTGGGGGGAATCAGCCATAATTGATTGACAGGCACTAAGGGGGGGGGGTGGGCATAAAAAAAAAAGGAGGGTTGAAGTCGTGGGTTCAATTTATTATCTTTTCGATGACCTTGTATTTTTTAGCTTCGTTTCTTATTAAGACACGTTTTCCCTTTGTTGTAAACGCTTGTCCTTTAATTTTTATCACCGTTCTGACGTACAAGTTGGCAGTTTCTGGAACAACAGGGACCGCGCAGAGGGAGGAGCTGAGGGAAGGACGAACTTTAGCCCCCCAGTTGTGAAAAAAAAATTGTTGTCGAGAGGAAATCAAAGGTCTCTTTAATTTTTCCCTGAGGTGGCCGGTTCACCAGGAAGAAAAAGGAGATCGTTTGGTCCAATAACGTTGGTCTGTAGAGATTATCGAGCTAACAACTAAGAAGATTGTGCCCTTTGGTTCATCAGTGACAGCATTAATCATTTCAAATCTGCATTTCTCGGTCCAAGCGACACTAAAAATAGTTCTTTTGTAATTTTGTAAGCACTTTCCATAGCATTTTATTGTCAAGGGAAATAAATCGCAAGGCTCAAAGCCAACATAACGTTCGAGCACGTGAAAGACTACCTGAAAAAAGGTAAATTTTTGGAAATTGATTGTGATGAAATCCCCGCTCCGTTTGCTGTACTGCGGGGATACTAAGTAGTGAAAAATCTCTACTTGGTGATGATTTTCGCGTGAGTCGTACAAATAAATTGCTACTGTGGCGACTGGGTTACATGTGGTACTGCCGCTGACAAGTTGCGATTTCTGCTCTTAGGTTCTCAGTGTTTACGAGCGTTCAATCGAGGTTTCATTCTTCTTTTTTGGTTGTTTTTACTAAGAATGCGCGGAAACCTGCTGATATATCGAAAAATGTCTATTTCTCGTCTTCTTTGGGGCGACCGATGGAAACTACATGGAGAAATACAGCCGACTTCAACATGTTTTAAACGACACACAAGTATAACAGTGTGTCTTCAGAGGACTTCAGATCAAATTCCTATGAAAGAAGGTGCAGCACTCGGAATCTGGACGATATGAGATTTCTCTTCGAGATATTGCTCATAAGATAACATTCTTTCAAAGCCTTGCGCGTTTCATTTTTCTGAAACATTTGTTGTTGAGAACATTAGATGTAAACATCGCCAAATTATGCAATATCTGATTTTTGAGCTTTGTTCGCGAATTGCCCCTATAAAAAGTAGAGGCAGGCCCGCAGAGATTTTTATATATTTAAAAACTAGAATATTATAACCAGCTAGGTGGGTAGTTTTAGTTCCAGAATCGGTGTACTTTTGGAGAAATTCGGATAAACGTTTTCCCTGTTTTACCCGACAACAAAAATGACCGAAACTGTACGGAGATAAATAATCTATTGGTGTGTTCACATTCACTCTCAGGGAAAATTAAATGTATCGAAGTAAAGAAAAATGATGTTGCTATATATGGTAGACGTGCCAGTTTGTTATTTTGCATTTAGCTTGAGATAGAGAAATAAACATTTTACTCTTTTTTTGCGACCTTTTTTTTATGAAAATGAGGCCCCAGGCCTCGAACAAGCAGCCGTTGTTACCATGGCAACAAGAGTGCTGCGACCTTTAAAAGGGGCATTTTTGTGCATCCCCCCTGAGTGCCTAACGGCATGCAAAATTTGAAGGGGGTTTGAAAATTTTCATTTCCCAAGATGTTTGATTCTTACAGAGACTTGTTCTTAATCGCGCAACTTCTAACATATTATAAAAGTCGTGAATATCTCTTCCCCTTTTGGCCTCATAGGTTTTGTTTTGTCTCTTTCTATCATTTTCCCATTCCCTAATAACCAAAATATCCAATCCTTTAGCTCTTCAAATATTTCTCTAGCCATTGATCCTCTTTCCAAAATGTTTCGTTAGGTCTGTGCTCTTAACAAAAGTGCTTCATGAAACATTACACCTCCTGAACCCGTGCCACCATGATACAATGATATCATCAATTCCTACTCCTTCTAACGTGCTCCTTCTCTTGCGCTTCTCCTCTTGCGCTCCTTTTCGGACAATCGTTGTCAATATGCCTTTACGATAAAAGATTGAAAACGTGGCGGAGAAAAAGTTAGCTAGTACATGTTCTCCAGATACAAACAGGCTGGCGGAGATTTTATTCCTGCGACGCTCTTGGTGGAAGGACCACAGCGTTACAAAGAAGTTGTGCTGAAAAGAATCCGCTGTACTCTTCCAGAATGCGAGAATGTCAAGGACATGCATTTTGAATATTTGAAATAAATGAATAATTTTTATGGTATCTTACGTCCAGTCGTTATCAGCGAATTTTGTTTCGGCTTACTACCGCATTACAACAGGGCCGCCACAAAAAAAAAATCAGGTTCTACTTGCTTCCAGTACCTCTCGGCCAAATTTGCTTTGTTTTGGTTTTGGTCTCACCCAATCACAAAGCTCGAAACCGATATCCAGAAATGGTTATGGCCCGAACTGTTGGCAGAGCTCAAATTAAATATTAATATTCAAAACTTCAACAGATTATTAGATAACTTAACTTCCAATACCTTCAATTTTAGCCTACTAGTTTGTTTTTAGGTGTATATATTGGTCGAGAAAAATCTTATTTTGCCTCTCCGTAAGGTAATCTGAATCATGTTGTTCAATGCGCCCGATTAATACACCAGTTCACTTATTAAAGAATGAAAGTAAACAATTGTAAAAAATACCCAAGACTTCATCCTACCTGAGCAAATAATGCATTTGAAGTTTAAGCTTATGGGAAATGCCAATTATAAAACTAATCATAACCATTGCATTTCCTCAAATGTGATTGGTGCATTAGCTGCTCTATTGATCATGCGATCACTTATCATTACGTACAGTTGCAATCGGACAGTGTCATCGGGCAGTTGGCTGTAATCGGACACCTGTAATCGGACATTTTAAACAGCCGATCAAACTTTCTTTTCAGCTAAGTCTACCAATTGAACACTATTGAATAATAACCATAGCAGCAACCACTTACTAAACTACTACTGAAAAAGGGAAGAAAAAAACAAAGACTGAGGATTTTCAAAACGGAGGAATTTGATGCTTTAGACATGGTCTCTACCGGAGATGTTTGGCCTAAATGTATTTTTTTCTAATGATTAATCGTGTCGTCCTATTCTATGTGTAATCATACTCGTGATCGACAAATTGAAATCCCACTTCGCGGTTGTCCAATTTTGTTAATCACTCATATGATTACAGACGAATTGGACTCCACTCGGTTCTCTCATCACTATAAACTATTTGTAAAGCGGAAAATGTAAGACTAATATGATCTACGCTAAAAATTCTTACCACAATGTTTCTAATTAAGTTACCTCATTTACCATGCTGCTAATCACTAAACGTAAAATTTAGTAAACAATATTACTGATGACGTAACATTAATTGAAAGTAAATGATCATCTTAAAGTCATGAAAATCATCGGACTTAATGGCGCATAGGTAGCTATCTGTTCAACAGAGTAGCTAAATAAAAAAAACGGACAACATTCGGGCAAACAACAAAAATTTGACGTATCTCGCGTCATATACAGCATCTCGAAGAAGTATTCTCAATTTGAAGATCGGCCACCTCTTTACTCACCGATGGTACCAACTCATTGAGAAGAAGGCGCTGATTTCTTAGCTCGCCCCGCCGCGATGGGCTTTTAACATTTAAGATTTTTAATTACTTGATGTGACAACATTTATGCCACAAAGAAAAAAATGAGAAAGAATAAAAGAAAGAAAGAAAAGTACTTCGATACAATCTAAAGTCAAAGGCTAGGTAGAAAAACAGAACAGAACAAAGCAAAAAGACATTTTGGTGCATAAATTCACCTGCATCATCTCCAATTCTAGCTTATTAGTTTGATGATCTCCTCTGCAATCAATGTTTGGTGACGAATATTCTATTTTTCGCCATGCCAGTTCGCTATTTAATGACAGTTTCTTCAGTAACCATCACGAGCTGTCGTAGAACGTGCCAGGTGCTCCAAAGCGGAAGTCGATTTTAAGCCCAATGAGGGCAAAAAATTTTTTCTCGTTATTATTTCTACAAATAAATTGGCAAGTCTACCATCAAAAACAGTTATTTCCTTTCACCTCTCATCTAATTTACAGACTTGAACCGCTGTTTTTTCAACACTATTTTTACTGAATTGACTCCTTGAAACGCTTAGTAAAAAAACCTGAATAACTGTAAATTGAATACATAGCTTGCAGCCACAATTTCAAAAGAAATCATAATATTTAAACAAAAGACAGCGAGGTAACACTCAGGTTTCGTTGCTTAAGAGACAGCCAGGAAGTTCCGACGATTACGAAAATTTTGCATACGGAATTCTCGTATGAATTTGTATATCTTCAGGAAGAAGGGATGCACGCCATGACGAGTTCGATTTTCATGTGTGCTCTGTTACTTTCGTGCCTTATGATATCAGCTTCTGCAATTTTGCACGATTAGTTTCACCATTATTTATTTCTGCGCGGGGATCCTTAAGGGAAAGTGATTGTTCTCAATCATAGTTATCGTTTAACACCGGCAAGTCGTTTAACCCTTAACACCCAAACATAAGTACATTTTGCGTTTATGAAACTATAGATTTGGGAATCTAACCATTCACACCATCCGAATCAGAGTTCACAAGTTAACCACGAGCAATCTGTCTTAGTTCTTTACAGCAATATATGAATCCCTAAATTTATATAGGTACCGAGTTTTTAGGAATACGTTAAGGAACTTGTTAAGTTTAATTTTCTTTTGTTTTACTTTGATCCGTTCTCGTTCATTCCATATTTTTGTACATGGTTACGAGGTTTTCTCACAACGTCTTGCCATGCAAGTAAAACGCAAGTAGATACTCTCAACGGACTCTTGTGGCCCTGCGCTTTTTTCAATCTACTCTGCCTACTCTCGGACAAGAGATAACTCGTGATTTTTTAAAATGACAATGATATTCAAGTCTATAGACAACTAAGTAATCGATTGCAAAACCCTGAAAATAGGTGCCTCAAGTTTTGTTACGACTAGGCCTGCAAATGAAAAAGCATCGAAAACATGACATCATCTCTAGAGCTGTCAAACTAGTATTTTGGACTTCCGCGTCAACTTCACTGGATTGATAGGAGTTTTAATTGTTGTTAGTCGGCACAAGCCGACCCAAAGCAAACTGCTATCATACAATCAACACAGGGAAAACAACCCAAAAGGCAAAATACAAGTGGAGGCTAAGCTTGTTTATTCGTTTTTTTAAATTACATTTTTATTTCATTAAGTTTTCATTTTACTGATTTTTTTTTCCTGATATTTGATATCTTGGCAAAAGGCGGAACTATTCTTAAAACATATCAGTTTAATAAAAACCATGGTATTTTGATATACAGTCGAACCCGTATCAAGCAGCACCATATTTAGCGGTCATCCAGTATTAAACGATCGGTCGTCAGACTCCAGAGTTTTTATTCAGTTATCACTGTAATTTTTATCCATACTGAGCGGTCTCGGCTATTAAGTGGCGGTAAACGCTTTAGAGTGAGTCTCAACGGCCTGTTTTAAAGTAGAAACACTCCAATAAATATATATTTGAAGTAAAATTCATGCATATTTCTCTCCCGAATTCAGTGTTTGTAGTATTTGTGAGCAAGGTTTTGGAATTCAGTGGTCAATTAAGGTATAAAATGGCCTTGCGCGGTCTCCCCGTCATTCTCTACGGGTGACCGTTTAATACATAAAGAAAAAATTTCATGGAGCATGGACCTGCTTTACTCAGTTTCAGATTTCAAGTATCTTAGCTAGAAAAAATAATAATCTGAAAAAGCTGGTTCCTGCTAAAGTCGGCTCAAAATGAAGGTAAACGTAAATTAATACTAATGAGAATTAATCAAGGAGACGAGGAGATAATTAAACTCTTCCTCCTCCTCTAGTTCGTCACCATCGATGTTCTCTGTGCGTCTCATGACTGCGCTTATTCTTTTATCTAATTTTCCCAACCGTTCCTCCGTACAATTAAGGAGACTTTGAGAGTTTAAACAGAACGGTTCTGCGTCGGAACGACACATGTTGACAAAAGTTGTTTCGTCACAAAATAATTTAAATTCTGGTCCCCTTTTTCCTTCTTGGAATAAGTCCATGAAACGCTCCCCAATGAAATGCGCCATTTCAAGCTCTTCTGAACTTTCTTCTACGTTATCTTTAGCGTCAGTGTAGGATTCGTTCAGGATAGATACCAACATATTCATAAGAAATATCGTCATCATTAACATGAACAAAAGAACAAAAGTTGGACCGATAAAAGGTTTATCTTTGCGAAGATCAGCAATTGGGACTGCCTTTCCCAACAGAAATTCAAATTGCGAAATGGCAGCATGCAGATAACTAGAGTAATGATAAACTACTCCTCCAAAAAGCTGCATTCCTGATATAACAAACGCGTTAAATACTATGGCAAAGAAAACCAAATATGACAGTTGGCAGCTTACAGATTGTCGGAAAGACGAGAACAAGTATATGACATAAGGGTTAAAACGAATAAGATTTAAAAGCTTTACTGTAACCATAAAAATCGCAAGAGCAATAGAGACATTTTCCCAGTTAGCCCAACTTAAAGCAGAATGAAAATGAATTATTTCGAAAGGATTTTTTTTTACTGCATTGATGCTGTTTAAGATTTTCTTGGATCTGATCATGTAGCACACCACGGACATTGTAGAAGAGATGATCATCAAGAAATCAACCATATTCCAGATAGACTTAAAAAATCCCAACCGTTTTCTGTAAAGGTGAAACAACATCATGATGAGGTAGAATAGCACCACTGCCAAGAATAAAAACTGACAGATGAGATAGAACATGAGAGCCCCCGACTCCGTGCTGTACAACTCGAGAGTGTCCACCTTCATAACTGTGTAGGCTGCACCAGCCGCAATCATTTCGTAAATAAACGTTGCAATGCTAATTAAATTCGTATTAAAATTGAACGCTGCAAACTCCACGATTACTGAACGAGTATTTCGATCAAGCCATCCATGGCCAATGGTTTCATCTAAAACGCCACGTGCTGTTTGCTCATCATATCCCAAGACAGCTACGTAGCCACCTCCTCCATAATTGTTGTACACGGCTTTTACAGGATCAGTGTCCAGCGTTTCAGCTGTCTGGTAACGCCAGGGTTTTGGACAAATTCGAAGTGCCTTTGGCCAGGATGTATTTAAGGGAAGTGGCCGCCAGCCTGGAAGACTCAACTCTGTTGTGTCCTCTATCTCTGGAGAATAGTCGTAGTAGCAGTCTGGTATAGTTTCAGAAAGTGACTCACAACGACCTTCAGAATACAAAAAATAGGAATCATAGAAGTATGAAACGAATCGGGAAAAAGTTAATTATGTAAAAATAGTTTTGCAATTTATTCAACTATAATTATAATCAAAAGCACTTTTATGAATTCTTAGCTGTCGCATCCAAGGCATGCCAATCGATATGGACATCTTATTAGCGATGTAAACATCATTTGGCTCTTCGAGGCCATTATACCAGTCTTGGTTGTATACGTTTGGTAGAAACTGCTTTGCCAGCCATCTCGACAGTCTCTGGGAATCATTCACCTTAACACGGAACACAAAAAGAAGTTCACATAACTGGACTGAGGAACTAAATATTTACTTGTATTATAGGTGAAGTTAAATGAAAGGGATTGATATGTTATTCAGAAACTTAACATAACCAAGCTTCCACATTGCATTTAATATTGCCGCCTTTACTTATGTTAGCCTATGACGAGGCCTCTTCCAATCAAAAAACGATTGAAAAGGGTAAGAACTGAAAAAAGCGAACTAACATGAGTATTAGCAGGCTCCATTAGCCTTGTCTGATCAGGTCTCTCAAGTACCCGTCCCAAACACACTGCGACTACACCGTTCACTTCTTCAGTACACCTCTTCAGTCATTATGAAATAAATGTCATCATGATCATTGTAATCAAGACTCTATTTAACAGAACTATCGAATTTGATTGGTTCTCATTATCCCGATTTGAGTATTAACTAGGACAATGTACGCGTCATGCTTACAATTGCATAAGTGTTTTGGGCAGTGTGCGCGACTTGCCTGTATAATTGGACGCGTCATGTGTGCACGCCGTTGCCGCGCATTTCTTGGGATAAAACTAATGTTTGCTTCTCTCTTTGTTTGCTCTTTTTCTTTTGAGAAGTTATCATAGATGCTGAATTTTTTCTCTAATTTAGTCATAATTTGTGCGGACAGAAATTTGTTTGGTCCCATTCACTTAGTAATCATACTCGTAAGCAATAAATCACTCCATGATTACAGACCGAATTGGACTCCACTCAATTTAGTTGCCATTACTTATCATCGTTATCGTTATTTCTATCATTATTACTACCTCAAATATCGATATCATCATCATTAGCGCCACCATCACCATCATAGCTGTATCGTTATTATCACTATCACTGTGATCGTTAATTTCATCGATTTTCAATTTTAAAAGATATAAAAAAAGTGGTTCATACCAGATCAAAGCTTGCGAAAGTATTTTTCATCTCTGTTGTCATCAAGAAACAATTCTCATTCTTGTTGCCATAGGAAACTACTGACAGCAGAAACACAAATAACAAATGGAGGACAATTTCCCTCGCCGTACTTGCTAACCGAGCCTCTTTTCTGCTTTGTATGCGCATTTTCTCCATGAGGCTCTGTTTAAAACGTTCTTTAGGATTGTCACTCAAAATATCCACATCATCGTCTTGGAGTTCACCCTCTTTAACAAGTCCCTCTTCCACATCATCCTGTTTGTTTCTAGTCATAAGAAAGGAAACTAAAATAACTGCTAACATGACCTTTGTTGGCTGCATGACAAAAAAAAACGTCTTGTCCATTGGAAATAAGAATGGAGGCCAGCCACTGCTCAGCGACTTCCTTACCCCACATTAAACTGTAAAATAACGTAAATGTTGCTGCTGTCATAGTGGTGACAAAGCAGAGAAACCAAGCGATGTATACACAGAAATATGGCAGCATACAGCCTTGACCATTTACTTCATCGACGAGTTGTTGTGCCTGAAATGAATCTTTATATTTGTCTTCTTTCTTCTCCTTTGTTCTACTAGACTTAAACAGAAACACAATCAGAACGTTTACAGGTGCAATTATTATAGCACTCTGTACCCCAACGACTATTTGTCTCCAGGAGAACTTGAAAGGTCCAATTTGTATTGCTCCCGCTGACTCCCCGCCAATATTATAAAACATGGCATTGGCTATCATTGCACTGAAGAGAATTGAAAGACAACACGACACTCTTTGCACACGCGTGAATGTACTACTGCACGCTTTACCAAAGACTGACATCCACAAATGGCTGTCAGCTATCTTTCTCCCAAAGCGCGATCTCACCTCCGCCGAAAAGGATGTAGCTGCTTTGCTTTTTATACTAATTTCTATTTGCCCATCGTCTTTTTCGAGTGCGAGCCATCTATTTATGGGGAACACCCAGCGTTCTTCTGTTTGTCTGTCTCTGATTACCACTGTTTCTACAAACCAAGATGGACTTTCTCCTGAATTATCGTGTTCCAAAGTTATTTCGTTTAGATTTCCTAATGACTCGTTTGTAACCAGAACAAAACCATTTATACTTCCTCGACTAAAAACTTCCTGTAAATCACCATGTTTTTGAAGAGTGATGAGATCATGTTCATTGTTGTCTCCTTTTATGCTCATCGTTACGTTTGCCGTTGTAGCTGAGTCTCTCCAAACACCAGTGCTGATAACCATGTCGTAGTAGTACGTTCCTTCTTCAACAAGATTTATCTGTGGCGGTGGGAAAATCTGCGAAAACAAGTAATTACAACAATTTACCTTGTTTACCCGGTGGTGGCCCCATAAAAATAGTTACATCATTGAGCTGATACTGGGAGATACAACTTTGTATTATTTTCCCCACCCAAACTATTAAAATGTCCAGCGAAAACAGCTACATAAAAGACAGTTTAATTTCCGTTCACATCGCTTGACAGAATCTTCAATATCTTTGGATTTAAGGGCAATAAAGAGATAAGTGTAAAGAAGAAGCTGCACTTTGGTACACAGCGTAATGAGAAAAGAAAAGAAAGGAAGAAAGAACGCGAGACTACTGATTTTCTCATCGTAAGCTCTTAACTGTATTACTACTGCAGGATGATTTGTGCGTAAATATTACATGCAAAATTTAAATGCATACCTTGCTTTGATCTCTTTTGTCAGCCCTCCTTGCAAATATAAGAGCTACAAAGTAAATAAGGAACGCAAATGCAATTGTCACGAGCACTGAAATGTTGCCCGACTCGCTAAGTCGCGCAAACTCCGTGAAAACTTTGTCGAAGTCAATGGGATTGGGAGCTTGAATGAAGTTTCCGCCGAAAGACGTCAGATGGTTGCAGAGGCATTTGAGATGCGTGGTGTTAGAGCCCACGTCGACCTGCCAAGGAAATATAAGAAATAGGTGCCATCAGTACATGTTTATAGATTTCGTACCGAAATTTAGCTCACTTTGTAGGATAATGTGGTCGGTTCTCCTTTATAAGTCATTATTTGAAATCATAACTGGATTCATACTTACTTTGCAACCATCGGATGTCCATTTTTCCTCCTCTTCAGACCAATACAAACAACTTGACTGGGTTATGGTCAACGTATAGTTGACATCAGTTTGTGGGTTATATTGAGGTAAAATCGTCTGAAGGATCCCTTTCGGAGGTGGATCTTTGACGCCAACGCATGATCGTCTCTGGCGACCATGCCCGAAGCATGACCGTTTCTCTCTGGAATTTTTGCTTGCATTTTTCGATTCTTCCAATAATAAACCTATGTAAATGTGACTTGGTTCGGTAGGAAGTACGGTAATTATTCTCTCTTCTGGAATACACAAAGTTTCTTTGGCCTCGCTCTTTGTCACATTTCCGCACTTTGACGTGAGCTTTAGCGTAAAGTTGAGGTCAGAGTCCTCTGTGGTAGGTCTTGACGCAAATTTCACAAGTATCTTAACTAATGTCTCCTCTTTTGCCACTCCCAGCCTGATGGAAACAGGTACATCTGCTAGGTCTGCGTAATACCTCCTCACAGTCAATTTGTTTGGCTTTAGAAAATAATGCTCTGATCCGTTGCTGGTATTTGAAGGAGGGGGGGAAATAGGTATAACTATTTCAATATAATCGTCGAGGTTTGAAACATTCAGTCTTGTTGCATTTTCCGTTTGAAGCTCGAGGCTAATGACACTGGACTGGACTTTCTTGCTGCTATTGTCCCAAGAGAAGGGATTAAAGTCAGCACTTTTCATCTGCAAAAACACGGAAGTTATACTCTTTCAAGTAAAAGGCGTAATTTACTAGCAAGACTATTTGCTCTGACGGAGGGCTGACCCTCGAAAAATCAGCTTTAGAAACTCTCCGCTTTAGAAGCTCCCCGAGGTTACCAGTTCAGTTGATTAAACCAGTATTTTCACACTTTAAGAATCAATTTCCTGATGATTTAAGGCAAAAATATTAAACGAAATTTATCAAAAGAGAAACTTAACCTGCTTCAATATATATACCACGTATTATTTGACAATGTAGTGTATTTGGGAAACGTTTCAGAGTTTATGTGCATGACGTTTTCACAGTACTGCAGTAGAGAATGTGTAAGCTATTCATTGTAACTGAGAAACTTCAAATAGTGTTACAAAACACTTAGTTATCAAAGCTATTGGATCGAATACAATTTCTGAGCAATGAGTGGCGTATGGAGAGTAATTTTAAACAAAAGGTTCAAACTTTTGATGCAACGCTAAAAGCGTTGACAGATATTTTCAAATGACATCCAATTTGGAAATGCGAGGTTTGTTGTTTATCTACACTTTAAAAATCCTTACCTTTGCATTAATGTTTCCATCAACCATATTCCCTAGGTTTCCTGGTAGTTTAAATTTTGTTGGTCCATCTTCCATGTTAAGACCCTTTATACCGTCAGCAGATACCTTCTTAAGGGTCGATGTCAAGCCAGGCGTTTTCAAGACAAGATTTTCAGAGGGAACAAGACGGGTGAAAAATGCATTATTCATAGCGTCCAATTTTTCAGCAGCTTTTTTCCCACTCTCCTGTCGTAAAAAAAAAAAACCCAATGAAATTTTCCACTAAATGTGATGTCTGAGGAATTAGCTAAGCCTTGACTAAGCCTTTGCAAGTGTTATTTGTTTAATAATGTTTGTCGTAATAGCTGAGCTCACAGTGCGCGCAGCGTAGCCCTATAATTATCGGAAATAGTAGGATTAGTAACCCATCAGGCCGAAAAATTTGGACTTATGACGACCGAACGACCGACTGAACAATTTGCTACTTTTCATATGCGCGGAGAACGGCATTAGCCATTACGTAATGGAAGAGTGAAGGAGAAGGTAATGCGCAGGTGCGATTGTGTGAGTAACTTGGATACCCAATTAGCTTGCGCCAGGAGACACCGGCAAAGGATAATAAAGTAAGCATACTCAAACGCTAAACTTTATTGCAGCGTACCACACAGCTAGGTATAACACGGAGGCCTCGCGTAGGTGATAGATGTAAGCCGCGTAAGAAAATAATTTGTAACCCATATTTTGAGCAGGAAATCAAACCAGTGAGGTTGGAGTTTAACATTAATTCTCAGTATTCTGCAATCTATGATCAACTCGCAAAGCAACGATACCAGCGGAGCGAAGATGTGTGTTTTACCCTAAGACCGAAGTAATGGCCTTTCCTAAAATTGAAGTAAAATTAGATTGAGTCAGCGATGTTCATCTTTAAATTAATTATAGCACGGTTATTTGTGTTTGTCAATTTTTCGTGTGAGAACCCGTCAAAAATCTGAGAATTAAATTACTGACCTCAAGTGTGTGGTGCAAAACATCTGACAGATAAAATTGTATTAGCCCTACTGCAGGAGGAGTGAATTTCATTTTTTGGTCATGGTACTTTTCAGCGCCATATTTTCATGCTTTCTACTCGATTCGTTAGAGCTTCAGGAAATGATTTGTCTCACAAAGCATGGAGCCACATCCTCTTCGCTTAACAACCTTATTGCTAGGATGCATAGGGTTTGATGATTGTGATGTGTGTCTTTTAGGTTTTCGACTTTCAGCTTCGTATTAAGTGTAATTGTTTACCGTATCTATTTCTCTGCACCTTAAGCACTCACAAGTTGAAGCAGGTGAGTCAATAACCTGACTTCCTTCGTTCGGAATTGTGTTATTATATAATTTGGCTGTGTAAGTAACGACATTGTAACATTTAATATTATTATTTAGATTGCATTAAATACTCTTGCTCAAATAGTAACAGTGCATGGTGTTTCTTGCCATTGCTCATACCAAAAATAACTTTGATGTGAGGAATTCGTCACAAGGCATATGACCACATAATGCACAAGGCAAGAATATAAATGTCTTAGCTTTATAAGTTCGTAACTTAAAATAGGAGAGTTATGCAGACCATATCTTACTTTTAAACCTCCTCTGGATATTTGCTCAAATAACATAGACACTATCAGTCTCATTCACTCTCATTATTGTCCACTGACCTTATAGAAAGATGATAACCTCGGTATTTTTTAAATGAAGCAAGGAAAGCCTGCTCTCTTACTACAGATAGTTCCTTTGCGCATGAGCAAATTTCTATATTTAAGCACTCTCTTAAGTTTTAAATTAAAGGCAGACCCTGGGTTGTTGATTACTACCAACTCTTGATTATTTGTTTCTTGTAAAACAGGGATTTCATTTGTACGTGAAAGTTATTGTTCCAGGTAGGCCAACCCTGTAAATTAGCTGTGAAAATTTCTAGAATCTGTCGTCGTATGAATGTTTGACTCAAATTCACCAAAACTGAATCAATAGAAACTTGAAATTTATTTGTTTTCCTTTTGAGGTGTGCATCAAAAATATGTAGTCACTGCAGGCTTGAACTACAGGTTTGTAGTAAATCTGCATGCGCGTGGGTTTTCAAAATTAAAACCAGGATTACCAATATGTCAAATGACTCTACTACGTACGATACAAATACAGGCAGGTGTTAAAAAAGTTTATTTGGCTACTTCATTAATGCAGATTTCCTTTTCTGAGAATCTTATTTATCCGGCCTGTGCCGAATTCTGATTTTTCAACCAAATTTTATATTCTTCTGAATATTCTTAGGTCTCCTAGTATCAGTTAATCTTCATGTAATTAAAATAATTACCTGAATTCCTGCAGATGTATCGCACATCACTTTTCCTCTGATCCTACTAATAATTTATTATGTGTAAGGTTTGAAATTGGCTATAAAAGTATAGTCAAATTAAAGTTTTATGCACAGCCTATACATCAGTTATTTAATAAAACATTGTATCCTTAAAACTAGTTTATCAGAATAAGAATAAGTTACCAGGCATAAGTTTGGCTTTTCACGATGATAGTTTCCAGGTTTGAAAAAAGTCACCGCCTATAAAAATCCTCAATTCCTTTGTCCTGATAGCCCAACCTCATCAAAACATTTGCAACAGGAGCGATTAGCAAGTTAATGATACAAATAAGAGAGCCTATTCCGACGCACACCCTGCCCAATCCAGATAACTTATTACGGATTGACATTTCAAACATGGTCTGAGATGTAAAACCATGTATTATCTCAAGTTTTCTGCATGTCTTTATTGTTGAATCTTAAGTCTCTCTTTGTCATCAAGTTTTAATTATGATATTTTTTGTTCTAGCTTGTCTTCCTTTAAATCAAACTTTCGCAACGTGAGAAACATGTTAGACAAATTTCGTATTTCAGTAATTAGAGTTGCTTAGATCATGGAAATTATCTGCAGTTACAATAGAGGTCACCGAATTAAATAACAGAAAAGATAAATATATATATATATATATATAAAAGACGCCGGGTATTTCCAGACAGTCGACGATCATGAAACAAGAATAGCCAATAGAGAAAAGGTAAAAAAAATAACAGGTTCAAACGCAAGTGGAAAATGATTTTTGTTTTTAATTTTCTAAGCTTATCAGAGGAGGTTGGAATGTTAGGGAAAAACGTTGGGGAAAGCAGTCATACCTGGCGACTGAAAGAAAAGATATAAGAGAAGCCCATACGGTTCTGGCGTATTGTTTCTCTGACTCACTGTCCTCACGTATATACTCTTCAGTCGACCTGTGATGTCGATTTCTCGTCTTAGCGCGAAGTGGTTTACCGCCGTATCTTTCAATTTTGGCTCATTTTCCCAAACCGAAACTAAGCGTCGCGCACAATATAATTTCGACTGATGCTTGCGCCATACACGTCATCTGAAGTAGAAAACACTAAATTCGACATCAGGAATAACAACGAAGATTGTTAGCTGCTTGAAGATACCGCTGACCAACATGCATGTCTCGATTACTTTGCAAGTTGTAAGAACATCTTTCTCCCCCCCCCGACTGGTCCCTAAATCCCCTTGAAGAAACTCTTCTACAGCCTATGCTGAAGAGTTTCATTACAGTTTTTATGATAACGAAGGGATGGAAAATAAATTAACAAGAGCTCCCCTTTTTAGGCTTGGCTAAATCTATATCTTATTTTTAAGGGTCACATATTTTTGTTTGGATCACACAATTTCATCTTCACACAAACACTCTCATCCTCCTGCAAATAATTGTAGAAGTTAAGTTTGGCTTGTACAGGGTGACATAATACAACTCACTCTCGTTTACTTAATTTCGTGAATTTAATTTTGTCATACCTTCTCAGATTCAGTGCTCTTCCTTGAATCGCCACTTTCTTTGTTCGACCCTGGGGCAGACTTTAGAATGTTTTTTAGACACGTGGTGATACTCACAGCCGATTCTTCCAGTTCATCAGAAAATGGTTCCTCTAAGTCGCCAAGGGCAGACTTTAGTAGTTCTGTTGTGGCATCCGTTAGTTTCATAGTTTCATTCTTAAGAAAGGCATTTGATTGCGATCAAAACAATATTCATGTGTTTTCTGATACGTCGCAGTTTATGTGTAAAAAGAGGAAAAGGGAAGATTCTTACCGCAGAATTACCGCAGTCATTACAAGATGAGGCTTCTTGGTTACCACCTGCTAGTTTTACTACACTCATTACAGTTCGAGACATCTGTAGGTCCTCCGGCTTTATGGAAGTGAACTTCTCCACCAACGTACTTGAAATCTACGCCGGAAAATTAAGTATCTAAAGTTTTGAGGAGTTAAAAACGCTTACAAGGGATAACTAAATTTTGAAATTGATACTTCAGATTAATATCAACTATACAACAGCTAATTTGTATATAAGTGTATGAGATGCTTACTTGTGGATAACATTAAAAAAACAAGCAGATTATCGGGAAAAAAAAGCATAGAAACAAACAAATACACAGCTCTCCATCGCTAATTTGAAAAAAATATTATCACGGTAAGTAGACCCACTAGTGTTTTGGTATCTTGGCCTAGCGTTTGCCCACACTTTGTTTCCTCGTTAGCTGATTGGAGGACAGTAATAGCAAGTTGGGAGGCTTGACTAATTTCACCCTTCTTCAGAAACTTATCCAAGTCGCTGTCATCCCCAATGACAAACCCTTTCAACTTGCTAGAAACTTCTTCTATCTGTGAACGGCAAGGATCGAGTTGGGTCGATGGCACCACCTTTTGGAAAACAGGACAAGTGTTAGAAGGCTTTAATACATGGCGGAATAAAGTTTTCTTTTTACAAAAATATCTTGCGCCTTTCGACTGGTTCAGCAATCTCAGCTTACTGAGATTCACTTATACTTAAAACGAATCGTGGTCACTAAAGTCACTAAATCAACAAAATTACTATTTTTATTGTTTTGAGTTGATTCGTCTTTTCCTTCTTCCACCCGTTTATCCGCCTACGTCTCAGTACTCGTGGTTCATCAACTTTATTATACCTGTACCTATTGTACATTTGATGGTCCTTTCAGAGAAACCCTCTTCTGAGGGCGTACAGTTTTATTATTACCTTTACAGAGAGCTTCTTTACAACAGCCACACCAACAGAATTCTTAATAATAACGTTGATGGACAGCTGATAATCGTTTTCCGGTAATCCAGAGGGTAAGACTGTTGAAACAGATTTTGCAGAGGTGCCGTAAGATATTGGCTCGTCTCCGACGCGAAATTCGTAAGATAGTGGTTTATTTTTATCTTGCCATTCAAAGCATTCAAATGAAAATTTTGTTTCCAAAGAGAAACCTACAACGGCTGATGGCTCGCAATAGCCACTATGGGGCTGTCCAGCTGTCTCAAACTCCAGCACTGCAAATCCTGCTGTCCCACCGGGGGGTATTACAGTCAGGTTCAGGGCGTATTTTGAGCTTGACTGCAAGGATTTCTTTTTGATAATCATGTTGGTTGCATTTATTGCAGTTGATGTCATATTGGGTAAGATAGCTATGCGCTCCAGTTGTTTTGAATTATCATTCAACCTCATTAATTGCCATATATACTCAGAACCAATACAGGGAGAATTGAGACACTCTGATGTCACTCGAAACTTGTTTGAAGCAGACACTACTTTACCACAGTCTACGAAACACCTGCATGAAAATAGGAGAATTAAAGTATATTGATTGTTATAATTCATTTTGCATCGATCTGAGGAGAAAACAATAGTAGCAACAACAATGATCTACAAAAGAGATCAATTTCCTGACACACTTAACATTGCTTAAGGCCAAGTCAACATACGCCTCAGCTTTGCGTGTGATTGGTTGAAGGTAGAACAAAGCCACTGCAATCAGCAATTTGTAATGTACTCTTAAGGGTTTAACAAAAAGGAAAGGCTGTGTATAGAGGAAGACTGAAAGAGAGGAAGAATAAAATAAAACAATCATTTTAAAATACCTTAAGCTAACTTGAGGTATCTCACCAGCTGCTATCTCAAAAATAATTTCGGCGAAATGACTTCGATCATCTCTGGACACTTTTAGTCTGAGAACGTATGGGTGTCTTATTTTAAGCCCACGAGGGATAATTTCTATGGATGTTAGAGTTACGTCTCCCTTGAAAGAACCAAAGCAGTTATCGCTGACGGAAGTATTATCTCCAAGACGATAACAGGACCAGGTAAATTTCAGCCCGCTAGAGTTTCCAGGACCAACATCTCCATCATAGCTAAGGGATCCATCCACTGTAACAGTCTCTCTAGAACCCCAAAGAACACTACTTCCTCCATCGATGATGGCCCGCAAAGGAGCTGCAATAACTTTGATAAAGCCGTAATCAAAAGCCTTGAGAGTTTCTGAGGATGCTGGATCACCGACTCTAATAGACACAGTAAATGTTACTAGATAGTTTCCAGAAGGTACGGATCGCCTATTTATGTTCCACTGTGCAGTTCCTTGACTAACTAAAGTTCCCACTGGTGATTCAGAAGCTTCCAGCTCCTGTTCACTGATTAAACGCCATTCCATGACACTTTCCAACACAGGTTTATCTGGAAGATCTTCGATGATTGCCTGATGGATACTTTTTTCAGACCGCTTGACAGTCGTTGCCAAATATTTGTCCTTGGATATATCCCTAATCGTTACTGGGAAATCTCCTGTAGATCGAGATGCAATGAACTTCCAGGGTTAAACGCATTTTTGTGAATCAATCACACTAAAGCGAGATAACCTGTATGCCTCGAAGGTTTTTTCTTTTCATAGGCGTTTGTAGGGGGTTACTATCGGTACTAGTTTATGATGGTCAAACGAAGAACTATCTCACTTACCTAAGGGCTCACAAGAAATACCGTCTCCTCGGTAATCAGTCCTACACTCGCAGGTGAATGATCCATTATTATTGTAACAGTGAGCTACACCATGGCAGTTGTGCGTTGCTGTGGTACACTCATCAATGTCTGTGGGATTGTATTTTTTTAGTTCAAAGTTCTAAATCGTGACCACATACCATACAGTATCATGGGTAAGGTCAAGGGTTGTCCTGGAAAACTCAAGGGGTGGTAAAAACCTGCTTGGAAATTATGCCGATGTAAACAGTAAAAAAAAATTATTTTTCCTGTTTGTATTTCTGTGCTCTTCATTTTTTGCTTGTTTGTTTATTTTTTTCTTTTATACGGCTGGCTATCCTGCTTTTTTTGGAAATCATTTAGTAATTATGGGAATGAACTGCATCGGAAAAGCCACAAAGACTTTCAATGTCGAGACATCTCGATCAAAAATATTAAGGAACACTGTGTATGGTTGCATGGTTGTAGATTAAGTATTTATAATGACTATCATACCAATACATGTAACACCATCTCCTGAATATCCTTCAAAACAGGTGCAGTTGAACCTTCCATAAGTGTTGGAACAATCTGCTTTGGCATGACAGTTATGCGAGGTATCTGTGCATTCATCAACATCTGCCGCCAGGGAAACGTAATCAGTTCGTGTACACAAACTATAACATTTTGAGAACTCTAACTTTTTGCGTGGAAATGGAAAAAAAATCACATTTTCAGAGACTTTTTGAGCTCTGGGATCAACATAGGCTGCCAAAATATTTAAACGAAGTTATCTATCGAACTTTTTTTTCCCCTTTTTTAGTCGACAAAGATAAACAAGCGCCCAATAGCGGGAGGGAGGACAGGGGGTATGAATGTTTTACCTGTGCATAGACGTCCATCTCCTGTGAAGCCTTGTTTGCAACTACAAGTAAATTCACCCTCTGTGTTTTCACAATCGGCATCTTGGTGACAGTCATGGGCACCATCAGTGCATTCGTCGATATCTAAAAGAATGATAACAAGCTAAGGGTGGCGTAGATTGATATCGCTAACACCTCACTCTTATCAATATCTGTTCAATAGAATGATGATTTCTTCACTGAAAAGTTTACAGCTTAAGTTACTAACTCTACATTAAAAGCAATCTAGCAATTGAGGAATTGTAGCGGAGTTCTGCCACAAGTGGGACTTTCAAGTTCCTTCCGTTCGTTTTAGGTGAACATTATTAATAATTTTCGAACAATCACTCCGTATTCCGTATGAGACAAGTTGATTTTTACCTTTGGTCATGCCACTTACCCTTGAAAGATAACTTCACAATAGAGGCCGATAATATATAATCAATTTTTTTCTCTTGTCATTGTTCTCCTAGTCTCCCCTTCCCACCCCCCCCTTTTTTTTTAAGCATCTTGAGAAGTTTATTTAGTCAGCTTAACATACAGAAATCCTTGGATTTCTCGAAATAATGTTGCGGCTGTAACACCAGTAGTTCCCACCACCTTTTTCAAGCTTTTCATTTTTACCTATTGTTGTTTTTCTTGTCCAAATATGGTATGTTGTGAAACTTGCATATAAGGAGACCTCATTACCATTTTAAGCGTGACG